AAATTTTATTAAAACATTCTACTCCGACGAACTTGAACCAAAACGAAACTTAAGCCCGGACGGGAGGGCATCGGAAATTCAAAAATCCTGATTAATCAATCCACATCCGAGGACAGACGCGGCGTACAATAAAATTTAAACGTCGAGAACTGACTTTATCTTCAAACACCGAGGGAAAGGAGGAATAACGATAGAAAGTTCTTGTAAATTATTGCTTCGCTGTTTAAACGGGCACAGCTCTCGGCACTAATGATAGTATTTAGGGAAAAGTAAAACGGGAAGAGATATAGAACTTAAACGATTCGGTGGATGGGGTTTTTACACGGTTCAAATTTAATATATCACGGTGATGGTTTCCCAATTGACAGGATTCGAATATAAAAAAAGCGAGCCGTGGAAGTGAAATATTACATTCCGCTCAGAGAGCGGTCTTCGAATGCCTTCGGTAATCAACGGTGATTGCTCAACTTTCTTCGACGCACACGTTTTCTCCTTTTTACCCCAAGAACCCCGTGCGGGTAAAAAATGCCATTAAAGCCAAAGCGCATTAACAATTTCAAATTGGTTTACGAAATTTTTACCTAACAATGTCGACGTGTTTTTTTTCGCACCCCTACACGTGCCAGGACTTTTTATGGACCTTTCTGATCGAAAATGTCAACAACATTTTTGACGGGTTGATATATATATATATATATATATATATATATATATATATATATATATATATATATATATATATATATATATATATATATATATATATATATATATATTAATTTCAAATTTATGAAACTTTACTACGTACACTTTTGGCGATACCCAAAATTGCTTCAGATAAGAAAATGCTTTTCAAAAGGCACATCCTATAGAAAATCCGGTACTAAAAGCCTTTCGTATCCAATATATCAATTCAATAGCGCAAGTTGAATTTCGAAACAGAGAATGCTTGCCCTAATCTAATCGATGGGGCTTTGTGCCAAGATGTTTTTTAATAAAAAGCTGTTCAATTTGTAACTTTTTTGTGTTTTTTATCCAACTCCTGCAAGTTCTGTTTTCTGAAATGCTCATTCCAAATCTTGCGAATCTCTTAGCTTTGCTAAAGCGATGGCGATCGTATATAAATTACGAATATATAAAATTTTTATTTAAATATATAATATTTTTATTTAATGAATAATTAATTGATTAATATTATAATTAATTAAATTCGTCAATCAAATGCCGTTTACCGCACTTGATGCTACTATACAGAAAAATAATTGATATAAAACTCATCTAAGGATAGAGCTTTTACGAGGATTGAATTTTTAAGATAGTATAAGGAAGGAAAAGCAAGTGCTAACCTTCAATTTTATTTTTGTTTGTACTGATGAGACATCATTTGAGAATGGTATAATTTGTCTTGGCAAGATATTAGTATAAAAACTGTAAAAACCGTTACATTTCATGCGAACGGTATGTAAAATTTCTGTGGGAAACTTAAATTATAACCGACTAGTCCACTAGATTTTTATTGTAGCTTATAGCAGTTATAGCACACTTATACTATGCTTATAGCATAGTATTTAAATTGTCTGATATATTGTATAACAATTTTCTGTGTATTAGTTTTTATGTACATTTTTGCCAAACAACACGAATACATTCACTGACATGACCGTCAAAATTCACAAACGTCAAAATTCAAACCGTGCGGTAAAATCTCCGAAAACATCCGATTGCTCCCAAATCCGTGCGGTAAAATCCCGGAAATGTCCGAAGTGTCTCGGATCCGTGGGAAACGAAACTAATGGTAAAGTGACGTTTATAATTTAATTTAAATTTCAGGGTAATGTTGGACATAAACTTGTTTATTTTTAATAATCATGGCGACATTCTTAGGTTAAGGTTATATAACTTGCATTGGTTTCAATTTTTGAATTGTTAAACTTTTTCCCTTAATAACGAAGACACACAAATCACGACAATATTTTTATAATACTTTACCGACCCAATAATTGAATATTCCTATTTCAACAGAGTGTAATATAAGGAGATTAATAGGCACATTTAAGACACAAAATTCGGCCAAATGCACGACTGTCGCGTTATATTCAGTAAATAGACAATAATGACTATTATTGTTATTTCCCTCGAAAGCGTTACATTTGGACCGTAACTTGCCACAACCGATATTCGAGAGAGATTTAATAATTTGATACATTTAAACCCGAACATTTTAGTTTTAGTGAGGGGCCTGTCATAACCGAATGCTCAAGGCAAAAGCGGAGGTTAAATTTCGAACACACTGACGTAGGTCCGTCACCCGACGAGACAGCCTTAGTTTAGATCATGACTGGTACAAATTTTCACAACTTCGACTTTATTGCCTACAAAATTAAGGGAATTAAGTGTACGATGAAAATCAAGATTCGAAAAAAGAAAGAAGGTGACTAGCTCATCAAGGGTGCGACGGCAGTTTCTGTTCAAACGCCCGAACCATTTGAGGAATTGATTATAATGGGATACGGCCAATAACGTGGGCGATAGTTCCGATTTAATGCAACCGGATTACCGGAAAAGATCGAATTTAATTAAAATTCAGTTCGTTTTGGCTGTTTTTTTTTAACAGATTTTCATAACCGCACAATCCGAAAAATGGTTTAAATTCCCCGAACGGATTTAATAATTTCAAAGGGATTATATAAACCGCATTAACGTCAGATTCTCTTCAGTGTTGAGTATATATATATATATATATATATATATATATATATATATATATATATATATATATATATATATATATATATATATATATATATATATATATATATATATATATATATATATATATATATTCGGAGCGCGTGCATTGAAGATGCCAAGTGAGATTTTGGCGAAACGTCTGCAGGATTCCAGTCGGATGCAGGATTTGCAGGATTCCAGTCGGATGCAGGATTCCAGTCGGAGTTCAACGAGCGAACGGATGATATCCCGGAGTATAGTGTCATCACATTTTTCCATCCGTGAATCAATACGTGAATATATATATATATATATATATATATATATATATATATATATATATATATATATATATATATATATATATATATATATATATATATATATATATATATATAGAGAGAGAGAGTATTCTCTATAAATCGTGAATTTGCGTTATAATTTCACTAGATACTCTTCATGGACTGACTGAAAATTTAGCAAACCATCTTTAAAAAATCCCTCTTCGTTTTCAATATGGACAACTATCATCCTCCTCCTTTCACGTCCCTTGCCAATTTTATTGGACAAGGTTTACCTATATCCCTGTGACCGACAACGTAAATAGAATCAGACTAAGGAAACTAACCTTACATACATTCGTCATACAAATATTGTAGCTAACGGCCAATTATTTATAAATTGAGCAAACATCGCCGTCACGTGACACGGTTGTCGAGGAAAGGTTTTGGCGAACTCATTTCACGCTCCTATTGTTAATTTTGATCCTGTCTAAACAGAAGAGGCACCACCAGCCTTACTGCTAATAAAGCACTTTATTCGCCATTAAAAATAGATCCGCAAAGAGCTTGCTTCGTCTGGGGTTGCGACAGCGTTTGAACTCAAAAATCTTAACGTTGTTCCGAATCGAGGCACATTCCGCTCTAGAAATCGCGCAAGACTAAACCTAATTTTTTGCAACTATACACTGGGTAGTCAATTAATTGAAAAAACTTGTAACTGAAGCGTCTTTCGTTAAATGGTTTGGGCTCTATCGCTTCAAAAAATATCAATAACTTCAGAATAGCAGATTTGTAGTTCGCCCCAAGACAGTAACAACTCGAAATAAGGTCGCACTTTTTGGAAATATTTTCAGTATATCTGTATTTATAATAAATATATCATCAGAGTAGAAAGTATACAAAAAAACTCTTTAACAAAGTAAACTTTAGATACAACAGAGATCGGCACTTTTATTCGTACGAAGAAAACTTAAAATATAACAATTTGAAGTCGCTTGAAACTCGATGAAACTGTTTCGATGTTGCTTTTCTTTACAAAGTTGTAAATAATCTTGTGGAATCTTCTTTTTGTATAAATTACTTGAGCTTTAACGCTAATCCATATCGAGTGCGAACGTTTTCTATTGAGCGATTTAGGTCGAATTACTTTTCTAACTCTCCTATAATAAGATGTGCTAGGACTTATAATAATCGTGTTCTTCAAAACGGCATAGATATAGGTATGTTTCAGTTAAGTCTTAGTTTATTTAAAACAAACCCATATAAACTTCTTTAGCTCGTAGTTATATAATGGGGTACCTGTGTCGGCCTGTTGAATGGCGTGTAAAATATAAATAAATAAATAAATTCCAAAATTATATTTAAAATATGCAAATAACACATACTTATTCCACCGGGTTTTAATTTCGACGGGTTGGGGATCAACGACATTTTAATCACATAGATGCATTTTATCAAATTAGGACAATAAAATTATGTGCATTAGTTTAGACGTTCAATAAAGGAATTGGCTAGATTCCAAACGAACTAGTTCACTGTGTCTATGTTAAGTGAATTACGTTCATCCGATTGATTTTTCCCGGTTATAAAAAAGAACCGCTTCCTATTAAATGAGTCTCAAAATTCGACGGGTCCGATTCGATGAAAAAAAAAAACCCCGTCTTAATTCAAAACCGCATTTAATACGACGCGTGTTGGTGATCGTAAATATGCAACACGCCGAAGGCAATCGAATATTCAAGCCATACGAAAATGGAAAATAAATAAAGAAATATAACGCCCTGATCGAATATTTATTACGCTAAAAATTGCATTCGACAGCGGGACGGTGCACTAACCGATTTGATAAATATTACCGCCATAAGGCGGTTATGTTTAGATTTGGATTCTAATTGATTGGTTTGCATCCAAAACCACAATAAAAATTATTATTATGACATTCTGTGTTTCAAAAACTAATATTTGTGTTTTCTATTGCAGGTCTAGTGACCATGCAGTGTCCTGGCCATGGATGATGAGAAGATCCAACCGATGTGGATAACCACCATTGTACCGATCATATGTCTTCTATCAGTTATCGATCCGGCTGGTGGTGTACTGTGTCCTTTCGGTTGCAAATGCGAGAACGAAATATTGAGGGCGAACTGTTCGGGAGCAGGAATAGAAGTTGTGCCGATCCAACTCAATCCGGAACTTCACACGATGGACCTCGCGAACAACAAGATCGTCCAACTACACTACACCTTCTCGTTTTACGAGAAGCTCATTACCCTCGATATATCGCGGAACAAGATCAAATCCCTAGGGAACGGCAACTTTCGAACCCAACGCACTTTAAAGTACTTAAACTTGAGCAGCAACTTGATAGAGTCGCTCGGCAAGGAAACGTTCGAAGGTTTGAAACAATGCACCCACCTGGATCTCAGTTACAATCAACTGGAAAGTATCGTTCCCAATTCGTTTAAAGAGCTGCCGATGTTGGAAGTGCTGAAGGTCAACGGTAACCAGCTGGATTATTTCGAGGACGGTCTATTCGAATCGAACACTAACTTGCAAGAACTTCATTTGGACGACAACTCGTTTATGGAAATACCTGGCGCGTTATCGGATTTGCTCCGCTTAAAATATCTTTCGTTATCCAGGAATCTAATCGAAACGATCGAAGAGAAAAAAGTGCCAAATTTACCGGAACTGCACACGCTCATGTTAATGCAAAATATTATTTTCGATATAAAGGAAGCGGCGTTCGCTAGCTTACCGAAACTAGATCGTTTAGATTTGAGCGATAATAACCTCACGACTCTACCGACGGCCCAACTGGCGAAACTTTCGAGACTCACGAACTTGAAAATCAGCGGAAATTCGTTTCAATCTTTGCCTGCAGTCGCGTTCAGAGGTCTCTTTCATCTGAAATATCTCTCGCTGAATCAGCTGGAATATTTGGAATACATAGACGGTCGGGCATTCGTCGACAACATTAAATTGGAGAAAGTAAGCATGGATTACAATATCAAAATTCGAAAATTGCCCACGCGGCTGTTCCACGGCAATCCGAAGCTGCGGTACATATCCGTGAGGTACAATTCCATCAAGACGTTGGAAGCTAGCCATTTCCCGTTAGACCAGCTGACAGAGTTGAAAGTTGGAGGCAATCCTTTGGAATGCAATTGTTCGATGGGATGGCTTTGGAATTTGTTACGCGAAACGGAAATAAAAGCTGGCACCAACTCCAGCCACACTGTGGAAACCACAACCCCCAATCCAATATTTGCGAAGAAAACCAATGATTTGAAACTAGACGTTAACGACGTTACGTGTGTCAGTCCGGAAGACTTGAACGGGAAGAAATTAATACAAGCTAGTCAAAGCCAGATGGACTGCTCGATAGGGTGGGTGGCCATTGTTTCGGTATCGAGCACTCTAATATTCATCTTAGCTATAATAGCCGGCGTGTTATTTTTCGTACCAAAGAGGAAAACCAAAAAAGGAATCGAGAAGGAACTACCGAAAATCGTAAGGCCCTCTTGCTACAATCTACCGCCCCCATGCCCGCCGCCGAGGAAAGCGACACCGTACGAATTCGGCCAAGTGGAGAAATACAAACACGTGCCGCTGTGGGATACGTATGCACAGCAGTGTAATGGAAGTATGAACATATACGACCAATTAAACGATACCAGAGAGAGGCCTCACATTGTCTACGTTTAAACGCCCTCAATTTTATGTACCATAAGATGATTTCACCGATGAGTTTCCTTATTGTAACTCGTAAACAAACATGTTAAATATTTTTTAAAGTATTTATACAAAAAATAGATATTGTAATATTACAAAAAAAAAGAGTAATAACGGGGGGCTTTCGTGAATCAAGCAAAATCAATGATGGCGGCATGTCGTGCGCGCTCGGCGAGTTCCGGTCGTCTAACTCTCTGAACTCTTTGTCAAATTACATCGGCTTTCAAATCGGGCGCCTTGCCTGACAAGTGATGGTTCTTATTTATTCACCCCAATTTCGCAAAACAGAAATCCTTTTGTATTTATCTTGAGCCCTAATTTTCTGCAACGCATTTATCTCGTTTTGGCGCATACCACTTAACTTTTTAGAGAAGAGGCAAAAAGAGAGCCGTTGGAGTAAAATACTGAGGCAATATATCCTTCAAAAAGGGGGGTCGTAAGTCTTTTATTATTTAAAACCGGGAAATATATATCGCTCGATATATCCTGGATAAGTACACATATTGCCTATATATTGTCCCGAGATCAAATTAAGTCTTGCTTTGACTCACCTCATGAAAACTCCACATTTCTCACACGGGAAGGTTGAAAATGAAATAACGCATAAAGAAACGTGTTTCTTTTATTGTGACGATTAAAATATCTATTTTTTTAATTGTTTATGGTGACGTGGTTATATGCGACGGATGGGTATACACATCCAAAGGCCTAGAGACCAGCGTATTTAACAATGTTGATAACAAATACTATTTTTGGCCCTAATTAAATAATGTAAATTAAACAAATGATGATCTTCCATGATGATGAGTTTCGCTGGACTCCATTTGTTTTGTGTTGTACGTTGAATTCGCGATTGTGTTTAACCCGTTCCAATTGTTAAATAGTTTTTATTTGCCGATATTTTAATCAGTAGATTATGAGTTCAAGGTGCAATAACAAATAGTATGGGGCTGTCAAGCGATTGTAGAAAATCCCATTTCGGAGTATAAAAAAACTTCTTGCAGGGACCTGTTTAAAATGAAATGTTCCGCCAAAGTCCATAGAAAGTCGCTTCTGTTCGCGTAACAGTTTTCCATTTTTGCAGGACCATGGTATACTAAAAAATATTTTCACACCTATAAGCATATGTATAAATTAAACAAAGTTCATGTATTTAGGTTTATTCGAAGTACTGTTCATGTCCATATTTATCTGTATATCAAGCTGTACTCTGTACTCTGTACCTAAATATTTCGTTATATGATATATGTTACAAAACTTTCAAATAATGAATATAATAAAGAATATACAAAATGCAAATATCAACGCTTGATTTATCGTAGGTAGTAGTAACCTATGCGGCAAAGAAGCAATTATAGCTCTACTTTTAATATAACTTTCAAAATATGCAAAATTCATGATGTGGGGCATAGGAGGGAAACTTTGTTGTTTATATTACCTTCTCCGAGATATATATTTAAGTTAGATGCTCTAAACTTTTCCCGTGAGCAAACTTTTTTGAACTTTTAATGTCGACACATCCGAACGTAACGCGATACCCTAAACACCCAAAAATATTTATACGCAAATAGGAAATCCCGTCAAGGAACTCTTTTTTGTGTAAATGATGCCCAGTTAGAGGCAGGTGCACAACGAACGACTCTTGCTTCCGTTTCTGCTTTCTGCTAATCATATTAGATGAAACGAGATTTAACTGCACAGGGTATTTTTACTTAAAGGGAAAACAATCTACTGTTTCTTTTTAATTGACCTCATTATTAATTATCACGGAAGAAACACGTACGTGAGTTTTGGAAGACACCTAATTCAACATCGTATGGGATTCTGAAACGAACTGAGCGTAAACAAGGACAGCACTCCATGCGATGTTGGCGAATAGACACGTATTACCGACATGCGGATCATTTCTGCAACTATCAACGACTAAATCGGGCATTTTTAATTAAATCTCGAGCTGTTTGGCCGCTCGCGGCAATTTTTTTTATGCGGGTGGCGTTTTAGAAACCGAACACTTCAGAGAAAAGCTCTTAATTAAAGTTTACCCCGGAGCGTGCTTAAGTGGACGCTTCCCGATTTTTTTTTCTTAAATTCTTCCCTGAATTGAATCTCTATTGAAAAACGCAAAACAATTTATCTTTTCTTTCGATAAGGCCGACCTTCAATATTTTCCTACCAGATTTTCGAGGAAATTTCGGACAATCTGGCAACGTCGAGTATACTCCACGATATTGCACGAGTAGGAGCGGACGGGTCGATATTCATTTAAAGCAAACATTTCAGTGCAGTTCAGTGTTAATAGCGTGTAGTCATGCGCCAAGTGCTGTTTAGAAACGTGCTTTAACAACATATAAGATAAGGAAAGGTAAGCAAAAGTAAGCGTGTCCTCAGTGAAGAATACATTTTTTTTTAAAACGACACGCGCACGCACACAGACGCGAGCACACGTACGCCTTTGGTGATTGTTCTCTATAGCAGAAAAACGATGAATGGTTGACTTAATGAAGGTGATTTTGCCGGTCGAATATTTCAAGTTATATTTACACAATCGGGTTCAGATTGGCGATCCGTCTTGGATTATGACAGTAGGTTAATTCCTCATGTCTAATAAACAAATTCACTCCCATCAACGGCAAATTACTGACCAAATAACCTCCACGTTGATGGCGCGTAACAGCAAAATTGCAGTTACCATTGTAGTGTCTTTATTTCATGTAAGTCAATTGAATGCTTTTATCAAAATTGGTACACTGGTCCATATACATAACAGTACTAAATTACGAATATAGTAAAGTCGGACAACGCAAATATTCATTCATATACATCCCAAGGGCGTCCGGTTTAAATACCTCCCGTTGCAACCTATGTAGCATTTGCTTAGTGCTAGACCTAAATTAATTCCTAACTTTTAATGACTGAATTATATACTTGTTTAATTAAATCGTCGAAATTAGTTTAAAAAATCTCACGAACACAAAACGTTAATAAAGTAAAATATATTTTAATAGAAACTGGCCATTATTAAATATCCGGATTAACTCATCGCAAAACATTGTTCACTTAAAAAATTTAGTATAATTAAATTATATATTTCGAAATGTCAACATTTTCAGTCACGCAAATTGGTGCCAAAGATCCTGTTAATATTTTTGGCAAATATTGTATTGAAAACCGCACTTTCCAGCACTAGTCATTTTTTAAGCGGGCAAGCATTAGCACATATACTTTTTTACGTAGTTTTGCGGTAGCGCCTTTAAGACAAGGCAAGTAGATCATTTCATTCAGATTCATTCAAGATAAGTTTCAAAAAAAATCGAAAAACTTACGGGAGTGCTTCCTTGCTTTAAATAATGGGTAGTTTGTTATATAAATGTTTGATCAAAATCTAACCTTTAGAGATATCTTATAAACGAAAATAGAACAATAAAATATTACAATACATTATTACAATATTTTTAATGAGTTTGAATTATATTGATATTGATATAAAGAAAAAAATTTTTATTTTGTTTTATTTTTTCACAATACATACCGTTTCCAACTAAAGAAATTAAGGCTAAAGCAATGCATGTTTTTAATTGAGTTATATTGATTCAATAAAATGTTTTGTAAGAAGGTATTCCATTCATTTATTCATAATTGACACATGACTAATCAATTAGTTTCAGAAATGTTTATAACAAACTATTTTTAAAATGTAATTCTTTACGAGATGATTGATAAAATACAAAATAAAACTGTTTGAGAGCAAATAATTCTTCTTTTGCCGATACGCAATGAAACTGTCATTTGTCATTCCGTAAATTTTTCTTTAAATCAAGATAAACGATTTAAAAAAAAACTATGCAGTGTCTTTCGTTAATAGTAAACTTCCGTAATAGTTTATTTTTCTATTTTAATTTTTAACAAAAAAGATAAAAATATTGTTTTACACATTTTTTTTTGGAATACCCTATATATTAAATGAGTTAATGACACAGAGATTCGGGCTTTAACCGAACCCCAAACATGATGCCCTAGACGCATTTAACTTAAATTGCCAATTATGAGATCGATTTTAACAATTTTAGGCCTAATAAACCGAAACAGCGTTAACGATCTTTCCTCATCTCTCTGTAATTAGTTATCACTTCCCGCGATGCGGAATTCGCAATTAGAGAGGTTTTCGGTACATAATTCTCCTCTATTTCCCGATGTTTTGCGTAAAAATAGAAACGAATCATACTTTAAAGCGATGATAGGGAATCCAAAAAATAGTTAAATCTGCAGCTGGAAGTAACGTTGTAGGCCAGTTTTGTAAAAGTCCAAATGACCCTAAAATTAAATTAAATTTGGATATTCGCAGCGAACTTTTTTTCACGGTATCGATTATCTGCCAATGGCCGACTTCTCTCTCTCTCTCTTCCTCTCACGCACACACGCGCGCGCGTATAGCAACGAGGATAGTTTAATTTTTTTTAATTGAATCTGGTTCGGCGTCTAATTAATTTTAAAACTGCAAACAACGGCGCGACCGCTATCTTTATTTCCTTTATTTCCGATCGCACAACCGATGCGGAAATCAAAATGCGCGGTGTACATTTTTCGTGTTCCTACTGCAAAGACGAAACTTTTCTAATTACCATCAAGATATCGGGTTAAACGTAAAACCAATTAAAAAGTTCGGATTCGAGTTTAATTTCGAGAATATTTGTTCATAAGTACTCACACTGCACCGACACTTTATAATTAGGTCTAATCTTATTATGATTCTTCAAGACTTTTGAGCATTGAAGTTAAATATTGTCCTACCAGTTTTAGCACACGGCTCCAGCTTAAAAGTTGCACTTCATAAATAAATACTTCGACAGTGAAGTCTATTAATACCTATTGTTTTTTATGGTATGTAAGGACTGTAAAGCTAGCGAATTACAGTTTTGCTCAGGAAACGATGACGTCACTGTACTCTTTTCTATTAATTCGGACGCTACACCAGAGCAGCAGCATTTCGCAACTCTTCCTAACACAAAACAAAACAAAAGGGGCAACTGCCCTAGAGCCCTAAATGATGTAGGGCCCCGCAGCGTACACAAAAAAGCTTTAAAATAAAAATTTAATTTTAATTTAAATATCATGTAACTAGTCGATCATTTTACTGGCAACGTCAAATATGTGTTCTGAAAGTGTATTATGATGTCTTTTCTTATTTAGAATTGTTTTATTGACTTAATATCATAGTATCAGTTTTTTCGCTTATTTAAAGGATTAAAGAAGGATTCGAATTACACAAAAATAATTGCATAGTACCAAAAAGTTTTATCAGATACTCGCTAAAATGTTATCGTTAGGATATAATTTTTTGAAAAGAGTTAAATTAAAAGCTTACACAAAAATCTACCTTGTTAACGTTTTTCTGAAATAAAATTATGTGTCTATTTACGTAGTAATAACAAGGAGAAGGATGCTTTATTTTTAAATCATCTGTAAATAAAGCTAAAGAGAAAATCAATTTTACTTCAGCACAGTGTTTTCTAGTATTTACACAATTTACTCAATTCCTGCGAGTAAGGAGAAAGATTATTTTCTGTTTTAAAATCAAATAAAAAGAAAAATACAGATTCTATTATTGAGAAATTTTTTAATTCCAAATCAAGAAAATGGCATTCTTTATAAAAAAAAATACTTATTTGTGTATATTTTTGTTTCCTCGACTTTTGATACACTTATATATTTTGATATTGAATAAAACATTTAGATACCTACTTTTCAGTTCAATTTATTAAGAAGGTATACTTTTCTTAAAATAAATATCCTATTATACTCGTTCGTTTTTTAACAATAAAAAGAGGCAAAAGCTCTCAAGGGGGGGGGCGATTTTTGAGTGCCCTGGGATTCCCGGGAATGTAAATCCGGCGCTGCTTCAAAACTTTTACTTTTAGAACTGTAAGTTCTATACGTGACAGCGTCTATTTAAAGTGTGCTTTTTATTTACACTTTTAACCAAGTAGCAGAATCAGTTCAAAAGCTATTAAAAAAATTAAAAAGGGCCGCTCAAAAATCTTCACATTTTGTAAAGGCTTCGAGTAAATTCGCTCATCTTTTTTTAGCGTCCGTTATTTTTCCGACAAGGCGCCTCGACTGAAAAAAAAAACAAAACTACCTTATTTGGGGAGTGAAATCGTAAAAACCCAAAGTGGCGGCTTTAATTCAGCAAATATCTGCATTTCGCTATCTAACAGTGCATGAAATGCCCTTTAGAATCCGAGAAGATATCGCGGCAACTTTTAATGCGTTTTTCAGTCTAGTCGAACGGAGTTAGAAGCATGGCAACGACGCATAACTTTGATAGCGCGATGAATAAACTTTAAAAATGCTTTTACCAGAACCTTGAATGTCGCATTGTTACTTTTGACTGAAAAGTCGGAACGGGAATGCGGTGAATCATAAAACTATTCGAAAAATGACTAACCATTGTTTAAACAAAACGCTGTGAATGTATGCAAAATATTAAAATGCACAGACTATTCATTTATTTAGGTATTAATTTGCTGTGACCACTCTAATTATGATGGTATGACCTTAACTCAAAAATCTCATCATTCCACAGATCTTCCAAGGAAACCCTCATTTTCCACTACGAGTTATTTTTAATACTTTCCGACCCTCTAATTCTGGGAAATTTACATAAAATTATAAAATATCGACTCAATTACTGAATGTATTTTGCTCAATTTTATTCAGAAAAATATGTGTAAATCCGCTTACTATCGCTCGAGCTTGCACTTGCAAAACGCGGAAGGATTCCCCAAGTTAAATACACCGGAGTTATTTTCCAATGCAGATTGCTTGAAGATATTAAAAAATAATCGAAAATTAAACAGTAATAATAATAACAGGACTTTATCAACCAAAGGTTACATTTACGGCATAATTATAATATTTTTTTTTACAAATAAAAAAAATAAAAATATTTAATAGCAAAATATATATATTTTTTACTTTAAGAGGAGAGTTTTAGAGGCTTTAGTTTAATCTCGGAAAATGTCAACAGAGATTTTTTTCAAATCGTCATTCATATTACTGTAAATGTAACAACAGAATTAGAGATAAAAGTTCTCCTAAACGAACGAACGAACAAGAGAAGAAGAGACTTGTTTAAAAATTCAGTAAATTTTTCACGTAAATACCTTATTAATCCTCAGCCGTCCTAATTTATTCATCATATTTACGGAACCCCTAAATAAACCTACAACATGAATTGCAGTGCAGTTATCAAGGCATAGAAAGTAAACAATGTCGCAATAGTTAATAGCAGACAAGACGAGACTCTCTGAGTCTAAGAGCTAAATATAACGTCTCTCTTGTTTAAAAATTTCCTTTAGGTTGAATGAATGAAACCTTTTTGTAAATAAAATGAAATCCTTTAAATTCGTATTCGACAATGCCGAGTTGAACGGTCAAGCAAGCGGGACCGGCCTTCTGCATTAAGCGGATTTAAAAGTTTATACGTATTTTTCTTCCACTCGGCTATTATTTAATAAAATCTCGTGTGCACGCGTTACGCCTGGAAGCTGCTAATTCATTAATTCATTAAATTATTGGAATTAATTGGTAAACGCGTATTAGGAACGATACGTGGAGGGAAAGACGCGATTAACATCGAGGATGTTATAACCAGAACCAGAATACTGAAATCGCACCTGTGCCGAGTCGAAGGAAATTGTTCTTCGCTACATATTAATGCCTGCACCGGTGTCATTGTGTCATTCCGGGGAACACGTATCTGAAGTACGTGGTCTTCCAACTTCTTGTTCCAACATTAATTAAATTCTAAGCCCCGAACGTCGCGTAAGAAAATCATAATTTCCCGTCGTGTGGTAATATAAAGGTTATACATACATACATACATACGTTATTAGCAAATAATACAGCACAGAAAGCAAGGCAACACATAGGTATGCGTCGAATAGATGTAGTCAATGGCACAATTTCCTCCTAGTTAACAGATACACCGCACAATAAAAAATTAATATTGCACAACGTACAGTACGCATTAAATAAATTAAAAATTGCAAGGCACATATAGAAAATATTTGCATTGCGCCTCGATACGTGCGCATTTCTATACTTTTTAAAAAAATGTTTTTTAAATATTAATATAGTTATTTTCGCTGTTTTCTATCAAAACAATTATAACTTTGGTCGTTCAAAACAAATAACGTCTACAAAATGCCTCGTTTGAACTACAAAAACTCCAAACTGAAGAAAATACGCTACATTAGTGTGACGTAGGACTTTCATTTATCAATAATGGAGTAGTCAGAAAATCAAAATATCTAATATATAACCTAATTTATAGAAGTCGTCGCTACTCAAAGGATTCTTTGCAATACTCTAGTACTATCACAGTTTAATCATTGTAATAGCGTATTCATGCCTTGTATCGAATTCAAAAAGTTCAAAACTCGAATATTGAACTGAGGTGGCTTTTACTTAATGAAAATCCATTTATCAAAATAAATAAGAACTAAAAGTTCATATTTTCACGAAATTGTTTCGACAACACACACAATTGTATAAAACATTTGATAAAGACACGGTTGTGTCGAAACAATTGTCATGTCAAAATATATAATTTCGTGAAAATCTGAACTTTTAGTTCTTATTTATTTTGAGTTCAAAACTCCTTTCTTGAAATAGAAATAGAAGTCATGTTTCACCATATCTGGTTCGGTCAGGCTGGTTGAAAATATTTAATCGATATAAACTTCACGCCCCGTTATTCTATTGCAAAATCATTCAATGCGGGAACGAAATTAGATTTCCAACGGATGTCCACAATTTTAATCTCGGTAGACCGGGTCTTCTTACTGTGCGACGGCATCAAAAAAAGAGCATTTGAAAAGGTATTTCTCACTGCAAATTGCAAATATAATTAATCAAAAATAAAAATTGCCTTTTGGGTAACAAAACGAATGCCAGCAAGATTTCATTTTCGTTTTAGACGTTATTAATCCTTTACTTAGATACCTCCTTCTCCTTAATCCCATCCCACTCCCACAATTTTATGCTAAATTTTGGACTTCCTTAGCCCTTTGCTACCAATGTAATTCGTGATATAATTTTGTATTTTTTTTTGTTCATCGTTAAGAAATATAGTATATTATGCAACAAGTGCGGTCAACGGTATTTGAGTCACGAGTTTATTTGACACGAGCGGAGCGAATCTTTCATAAACCAGTGAGATAAAGAGTTTCATACTATACTTTTTCTACGACCGTTAAAAAATTAAAAATAAAACCAGATTATCGGATTACTAAGTTTCGTACCATTCAAACAATATATTTACCAATTGCCTATTAAACCTACTCGTTTTTTTTTAACTGTGTACGTTAGACAGAGAGGAATGTATTATTGGATCTGTCATAAAACCTTATGTTGTTTATTTAACTTTTACAATTGGTCATTAAGTAATTTATTTTTTCTACTCCTGTCTGTAAAATGCCTAATTACACAGCGATCTAGGGTGCGGGAAGCGTCACTTTACCACGTCAGTTTCGTTTCCCACTTCGGACAGAAAAATCATCCAAGGATAGAGCTTTTAGGGGGATTAAATTTTTAAGCAAGAAAAAGCGAGTCCTAACCTTCAATTTTGTTTTTTTTTGTGCTGATGAGACATGGATATTTGAAAATGGTATAATTGGTCTTGGCAAGATATTAATATAAAAACTGTAAAAACCATTAAATTTCATGCGAACGGTATGTGATATATCGCATAACAATTTTCTGTGTATTAGTTTTTGGGTACATTTTTGCAAAACAACACGAATACATTCACTGACATGACCGACCGTCAGAATTCACAAACTTCAAAATTCAAACCGTGCGGTAAAATCTCCGAAAACATCCGATTGCTCCCAAATCCGTGCGGTAAAATCCCGGAAATATCCGAAGTGGCTCGGATCCGGTAAAGCGACGTTTCCCGCACAGTATATCGGTGTGTAATGAATCATAATCGTGCTATATTTTAATAATTAAGTAAGTAAGTAGACCTAGACTCTAAATGAGATTTTGTTAAATAGATATGGAGCATGTAATTTGAAATACGGTGCCGACCTTAAACTCCGTAAATTAACCTTAGGTTTTGAAGTTTTTATACGCGTCTTTTAAGTACTGAATCAAGACAAGGGTTACAGATTGCATAGCAGTTATTCAACTGAGGTAAAACCAGGGAGTTACAAAGAAGTTTTTTGATTTCTCGTGGAATTGCCTATTTATAAGCTTAGGAGAGCATATTACATTCACTGACATAACCGTCAGAATTGACAAACGTCAAAATTCAAGCCGCGCCGTAAAATCTCCGAAAACATCCGATTGCTTCCAAATAAATAAATAAATAAATAAATAAAATAAATAAAAATGTACCCAAAAACTAACGGTCGTAGAAAAAGTATAGTATGCAAAAAATCAAGAAAACCTCGTAAAACTATAATGGATCGTGTTTTGGAAATCCTAAAATTTGGTTTATTTTCACAAAAATCGAGAGAATCGAACCCGTATGATAATACAAAAAAAAACGAACGGTAAATATTTCTCATTATATACGGCAGTGTGCAACGAAGCGTTAAATTTAACAAAATTAGGGAACAGCGCAACACACAATCAAAATTTAATTGGCAAAACTGGCCCTAGAATTTATATATTAAACTTTTTCGTCGGGCGTAAAAGTAAGCGGAGATATTGCCAATACGGTAATTTGCTTTTTAAGAATTGGAACGTATCAAATGCGTCAAATTAAGTTAACTGGACCGTATGAATCTGTATGGCGGCGATCAAAAGAAACATTCGGACGCAAATCTGCTTGCTAGCATTAAATTCGTAATCAATACGATCGATCGGTGGCGGGGACTGACTCGCGTTTATTTATCAACCGATTACTAGGTTTAATTACTCGGTAATCGATCCCCGCGCGAAAATTACGTTTCCAGAAAATGAAAATACATTTTTCCGACCGGAACGAATTTTTACAATTTTAATATTGCAATAAACTAACTCCTCGATGGTACGCCATGAATAAAACATTAACTTGTAGCGCGATAGGAATTTCGACGGTGAATCGAATATTAAATCGTTCGAATTTTACGCATGTTGGAGGAATTCTTCCCAATTCCCACTAGAATTTACCCTTTTATTAATGACGCATTTGCATAGACAGCGGACAAATTGTTTTCCGCCCAGAATTGAACAAAATGCCTGTCCCAATAATCACGGAAAACATTTTTATCTTTTTTCAGAAAGCGAAAATGCCTCCGGTTTGGTATTATCTGATGTTGGCGTCTGCGGTTTTCTTTTCACCTGGATACTCGTTCAACGGGGAACAAGCCGAGCTGGAATGTCCCGATGATTGCGATTGTCATTATTTCCGCATCAACTGGGTGACGGACTGTTCAAACAGTAATTTAACGCAAATTCCATACGACGAGCTCAGTTTGAACGTCTACGTCTTGGACATGAACGACAATTTGATATCGGAAATCAAACCTTTTCCCGCCGACATCAAAATGAGACGGCTGCAAATGGCCGACAACGCGATGAACGAACTCAAAAAGGAATCGTTTCAAGGTTTGAACTTCAATCATAATTTGCTATACGTTCTCCGGAAACAACGCGATTTTTCCCTTAGCCCTTTCTTGTGGTGGTTCTTCCTCGCCGTCGCTAGGTAGCCATGCCAAAAGGATCAGTTCCATTTCTTTGTGGTTATTCCTAATCTTTCCACTCTTTCTTTCAGAGAAGGGTAGAGTAATAAAATCTCTTGCTTAATGCTTAAGCCACTTTCATTGTTGGTATCAATTTTAACGCAAAGTTATGGATCTATTGTTCTTTGTTAACCACTCACGAACACCGAACACCGGTGTGCCAAATGTACCGACTGTCTCACATAAAGTGCTCACTAATATGCTTTTCTCAAACCGTGTAATAGTTATGAAAAAAATTCTTATACAAAAGTTCTTTGGATTAATTTTAAATAGAACACCCTATATTTCATTGCGTTTTTAGCTTATTATTTATATTATCTCAAAAACTGCCAAAGCTGGAATGATAAAGTTCAATATCTATGAATTTTTGAACATGCAGAATTCAAAAATGTTAACAGCAATGTTGTCAGATTTAGCAATTTTACGTTACACGTCATAATTTTGTTATTTTTAATGAAATGCCCTATTTCTTTTTGTAAGGTCTCATCTCGTATTGAATTTTATCGTTTTAGTTTTGGCAGTTTTACTGAAAAAGCGATGTTATCGTGGCTCAGTAATTAATAGAAACAAAATTTTGAAATTGTGACACGTTACATTTCAATTAAAATAACAAAATTATGACGCGTGACGTAAAAGTGGTAAATGTGACACCATCGCCGTTAGCATTTTTGAATTTTGTCGTTGCAGCTTAGGCAGTTTTGGGGATATTTAAGCGTTCCGGTACTGTTTAAATAAATATAGAGGGTTTTATGCGCGTTTTACTATAATATACAATAATATGAAGTAAAGGAAGGCACTTCGTATAATTCTAGACTCAAAAATCACAAAATTTCATTAAACCTAAATCTTGTGTATAAAAATTCCTTTTCAGAATATTACTAGTTAGCTTAATATTTATTTTGGGAGCTTTTCTTAATATGCTAATTTTTCAATACAATGAAATATAGCATGTTCCATTTAAAATTCCAAAGTTAGTATCGATATCGTATAATTCGGGCACCTTTTATAATCCAAAAGTGAATACACCAAATATTTCCTTAAATTTTCTTAATATGTATTTAAAATTTCTTCAGGTTTTTTTGGTACATCTAAATTTCCTATATGTAGTAGTTCCTTCTTTATCACTGTCGAACTATTTTCAACTCAATAATTTTGGTGATGATTTTTTGTATTCTCAAAGATGCGTTATCATTCAACCACAATTATCTTCAAAAACATTCGAATTTCTCATAGTATAATTCCTGTATAGATCACTGAAATTTTAACAAACCTTTTCTAAAAGGCACCTTAATACCCGGGAATAGGCCTTCAATGAAGATTTGACGAGCACCGGTTATATTTGTCTGGCCACATTTTTAGTAAAATGAAATGACCTCGTCTTGGTGTACTGACCAAAAGTTGAGATGAGACACCCTGTCTATCCGACATTATGTACCGCAAATAAGCTAATTAATTCTCGATTATATCGAGAATTATGTTCCGTCGTCGTTGCAAAATAAAAAACAATTTTGTTTATTGTTTGGATGCGCGAGTTCAATTATCGATTTGCTTACGTATTAAAACAAAACGATAATTAGGGCGTTTATATTTTGCCAAGCCCGGTCAGTTTTGCGAATCGCCAAAAATATTACCATTAATTTTATTTCCAGGCTTGCACTACCTGATCGATGCAGATTTTTCGGGAAACCGTATCAGTAAAGTGGATCCCGACCTTTTCGAGTAAGTCAATACCGAATAGTCCGGAATATTTCGCTATAAATAAATGCTAAGCATTTCGCAATATTATTTACAGAGATTCGGCCGGATTTATAACATTAGAACTCCAGAACAATCCACTCGAGCCGGTCGAAGGGCCTTTCTTGTCGATAAGCACCCTGTTATACTTGGATATCAGTAACTGCACGTTGAAATACCTGAACGACCACTTCTTCGAAAATATATCGGCCCTGACTACTTTGGATTTATCCGAGAACCCGCTGAACTTGCTAAACAGCCGCGCGTTCGAACCTTTGACAAGCCTGGAGACGCTCAAGATGAATCATTGCAATTTAACGCTAATTACGGACGATACGTTCGTGGCGCAACAGAATCTCAAAACCTTGGAACTAATCGGAAACAATTTCGTGAAACACACCGAATGGGCGCCGGTATTCTCCCATTTGCAACTGCTCGAATACCTGAGTTTGAGGAATTCCCACATATACCACCTGTCCGAGAGCATGTTCGACAAAAACCACTACCTGAGGAAGTTGATTCTGGCCGAAAACGACCTGTCCGGACTGGATGTCGGTGAAACGATAAAGAATTTGCAAAACTTGGACACGCTCGACCTGTCCTATTGCAACCTCACGGTGCCGTTGTCGGAGGATACGTTCGCGAACGCGACCAAAATAAGGAGCCTCTACTTATCGGGCAACACCCTGTTCGCGTCCGATCTATTAGTTGCGCTATCGCCTTTAACCAACTTGCAAAAACTATCTTTGAGCAACTGCGGCCTGAGACGCTTGCCGGATACGTTCCATAAATTCAAAAGTTTGCAGGAGTTAGACATATCTCACAATCCGCTGAACGACGCGTTCGTTAAATTATTAGCACCCCTGGAAACTTTGGAATATCTAAACATGGGCTACAGTAACTTGTCGCACATCGCCCCCACGTCCTTCTCGAAGATGACGTCGATGCGTCGACTGATTTTGTCAGGTAACGATCTCAACAATCTCGAGGCCGGACTGTTCGGCAATCTGACCCGCTTGGAAAGTTTGGAGCTGAACTTCTGCGGCCTGCGCCGCCCGCTCAATGCCACCTTGTTTTTCAACAACCTCACTTACACCAACTTGACGGAACTTCAGTTGGCCGGAAACCCGCTACGCGTGTCCAAAACAGGGCCGCTCCTTCCCAAACAACTATCCCGTCTGCAAACTTTGGACCTTAGCAACTGCAATTTGACATTCTTACCGCCCGAAGCGTTCTATTGGACGAGGAACATTACGAGCTTGACGTTGGCGGGGAATTTTTTTACCGCGCCCACCGACATGCGCTTTTTAGAACTGCTGCCCAAACTCGAAGTCTTGGACTTGACGTACAACAACCTTACCACGTTCTCGCCTAAACAACTGTCCCTCAATCCGCAAGTGATCAAACTCAAACTGATCGGAAACCCGTGGAAGTGCGACTGCGCCGTAGCGGATCTGTGGGACTGGGCTCGTATGCAAAAAGGAGACCTGGGGGTCTTGGAGGGCTCGACTCTCGGCGCTGCCGACGTCACCGTCGGCAAAACCAAACGCAAGAGGTTGCTGGTGTGTAATTACGACGAAAAAGTGCCGTTGCCGTTGGTGATGAATAAAACTGCGACGGGACGGAAACCGTTCAAGCAGCAACGCACGGTGTCGACTACGAATCGCACGTGGGCGAAGTACGTAAGGGAGTCCGGTTGCGAACCATCGCCGGATTTTACGTTGCAAAGAGCGCCGAGGGCGGCGAACGACGATGGAGAGAAAATACGAATCGCCGAACACGGCCCGAACAATTGGGCATCGGCTGCGATTAACGCATGCGTGGTCTACGTCACCCTCATCACCGTCGTGGGTGTGTTGTTTTTAATAACGAAACGCAAACGAATCGAACGGCACGTAAATAAAAACAATTAGACGAACAAAACATATTTGCGGGGTGGAAAAATAAATAGTAAAGCGAGACGCCCTGCACGTATGCGGCACGTGAACGGATCAGTATATTCTATTTATTAGTCAAAGTATTTTAATGAATATTCCAATAGTACTATGATAGTTCGTCGTTATAATAAGACTGTTTTGCGTTATTTTTTTAGCGTCGTGAGCACAAAGGCTGTAATAAAATTTGTATACCAACGCAGAAAATAAAAATTAATAATTTGTTTTCTCGCTTTGTTTCATTTCTAAACGCGGCGCTTTCTGTTGTCACTCCGCCATTAAACGGTTTGGCACCTAAAACTCGTTAAATGCGAACAAAAATGAAGTATACATTTTTTCAAGGAAAATAAAATTAAAATTGCTTCGCTTAAGACTTTATTAATACGAAAGAGTAATAAAATGTAAATGTTCAATAACAGGGTGGATAACTTAAGGATTATATCATAAAGTTCAAGTAAATAGCAATGATAAACCAAGAGAGCTGCTTCCAATCGTATACTAAGAATGGCAAAACCCACCCATTTTCCTGCTAGTGTTCTACATTCGTCCATTACGCCCCGGTGTAGTACAGTCGGCGGAGATAGCACCAATTACCGAGTAATTACAGTAGTTTCCACTACAAAACAGGGGTTGAACAACTATTGCCGAAACTCGAAAGGCCGTGTTTAATTATTATGGATAATGCACGATATCACTCTAGACTTAGTGAAACTATACCAAATGCATCAACAAGAAAAGAAGAAATTATCAATTGGCTGCGCAGTAAGCGGTTTAATTACCCAGAAAATTATCTAAAATGTGAGTTATTAAAAATTGTCAAAAATTACAAAACAAACTTGCCATTTGCTATCAAGTTTTCAGATAGTCTCCTTACCATTGTATATTTAATTTCGGAATATTTTTAATGAAAATATTGTAAGCGAGGCAAGGAACGATGATACTGCAGTAGTATCTGTTTGGAAGGCAACTCTCCAGACAGCTACCAAAAAAAAATTGGATCAGTTGTATAGCACATACAAAAAATATAATAAAAGAATACTAGGAAAAAACACACTTGATATAACGGTACCACCACTGTTATTAATGTAGACGAAAGATGATTTTCTGGTAGTTGGCTCTGCTATGGAATAGTACATTATACAACAAGTGCGGTAAACGGCATTTGACTCACGAGTTTGACACTAGCGGGGCGCAGCGGAGTGAGTGTTTGATATACGAGTGACTTAAAATTTTTACCGAACGTGTTGCATATTATACTTTTTCTACGACTGTTAGTTGTTGGGTATATTTTCGCAAAACAACACGAATACATTCACTGACATGACTGTCTGAATTGACAAACGTCAAAATTCAAGGCGTTGGAAATATCTCCGAAAACATCCGATTGCTCTCAAACTCGTGCCATAAAATATCAGAATTGTCCGAAGTGGCTCGGATCCTAGGGAAATAAAACTGACGTGGTAAAGTCACACACGCTAGATCGGTGTGTAATTAGGTACAGACGGGAGTAGAAAAAATATTTTATACGGTATGATATGTTTCTTTTAATTTTCCGATGTTTTTAGTATTTTTTAAATTTTTATTATATGGACAGAGTTTTCGGACAACTGTAACATGCAGACTCACCTACTTAAATATTCGCTAATCATTAAGGAACACACCCTGATCTGAGTGTGAGTGTGTTAGTTAAATTAATAAATACCAAATACAACTTATTCTGCCTCTCTTACTCCCAAGTAATAAAATCGTGATCGTTAGTGACGGCTGTCTTGCATTGATCAAATAGACATTTAGGGCGGAACAACTTCTGCTGAAGTGAAAGTGAAAGCAAGATGAACAATCTATTTTATTCTGTCTGGCATTTGATTGCCACCAATGCCATCACAAATCGTACCGTTATATTCCGTATTGCATTTTTTAAGATGTACACAACTCGAACGGTTTTAATTTGCATACAATAGAAAGACTACATATACTTTAATAGAATAATAAATATAATGATAATTATACAAGATAATAATTATAGCGGACAAATAATTGAGATATAAATTATACATAAATAATAAATACATATGGAGGTAAGTATAATATGAAAATAAATAAATTGTAATAAATATTATTTAAAAAAATCTACTATTTGCGATACAACTTCATTTGAGAATTTTAATCGTGTTCCGATCATAGCGGTAAATGAGGGGCTCTACAGTGTTTCTTTGTATATGGTCAGCTTCCCACATACTTTCTTCATTAACTCTTGCAAGAACGTTTCAACGTCTTGCATTTTAAATGTGACCCATTCCTTGCAGTTTAATCCATAGCAACACGATGGAAGATGAAGTATTCTTATATTTCGTATTGAAGTGTCATGTCATTTTTTTAACAAACACACGACCGCCGAATAATAACTACAATTCTTGGTAAGACCTATGTTGTTGGTTTTTTTTATAGACCACCTTAAGGAGTGATCCGTGATGTTCTAGAAACTGTTGAAAGACTATCGAAATCTCAACAACAAAAAGTAAAATCTAGTAACCTATAATGATTTCAGACTTATAAGTATTCTGCCTATTCTGCTGTTTTCCATATATAATGATATAATTCGTACGATTGACAGAGGTAAAGCAACAATTCTGATTCTTATTGACTTTAGTAAAGCCTTTGATAGAGTAAATTATAAGTCACTTTTGTCAATTTTTCACTATATTGGATTTGGGGATACAGCAGTTGAACTCATAAGTAACTATCCCAATGAACGACTTTTTCTTTTCTAGTAATACTTGTAATATAATTAATTCGATAAATCACTGCCAGAAGGCACACAAGCTTAAAAAAAAATTAAACGAGCACCTCGCTATTAGATTAGATTATTTGAATTTTCGCAAAAACATAACCTCTTAATTAATTCGACTTATTTAATTTTTGGGAAATACTGCCTAAATAAACATATAAATATTAACGCTATTCTATATACACAATCATGTCGCAACTTGGATTTAGTTTTTGATTCAACTTTAATGTTTCAGCCTCACGTTAACAACTGTTTTCAACGCGATTATGGAAATCTAAAAAACTTCTTCTATAGAAAACTCAAAAAATCCAAAAAACAGATTACCTTGTGGTTAGTCACTTCAGTTTTGCTGACGCAGTCCACGGCCTATACCTGGGTGAGGTTGACTCAGACAAAATTCAGGGTGTCTAAAAATCTTGTTTAAGATTTCTAGATGGTATCCGCCGTTGTCAGCCTCTGTCTCATAAATTGGACCATATCAAATGGCTTTGTATGGCAGACAGAAGGAATTTACACTCGGCTACATAATACGATCCGAACGTCCCTCGTATTTGTCACGAAAACTAAAATTCCGAACCGATATGCGGATATCGCGGCTACATTTCTCCACCTACATATAATTCAATGTTTTTTAGAAGATGTTTTTCGTAGAACATCTATAGTCTTTACAACACTATTACTGTTGCACAGTAAGGTATGGTGTTGCTTACCACGCATGTATATTTCTTCATTGTTATCTTTTAACAAGGGGAACGAACTAGCATCTTTGTAAATATTGATTTTCATCCTCATTTTTTGTCAATATTTAGGTCGAAATTAGTGTTTGGTTGATATGATTGTACATTGCAAATAAAATATTTATTATTTTTATTCTTATAATTCTAATTTTAAACACAGGTAGATCAACTAAATGGGAATGGAATACACAACATTGCACGGTTCAATAATGTCAATTTTTCAAGATCAAAAATGATTTATAACCCGATAAGCCGCAGCGTCAAGAAAAAAATATATGTTTCATCAACAGTACCACACCCTGTATATCGTTGGGCACATAATCGATTGGGAGCTTTATGTACGCGACATATAGACTTCAGGAATTACCATATAAATAATTAAAACTCTTACTCAATAAGTATTATATTTTTTATTTTGACGACGTACATTTTTTCGTTGTGTGAGCAGCTCGACGGGGAAGGACGATTTTTTTTTGTGCGATATCAAATCGACTTCGGCCTTATTAAAGATATCGCAGCAAAATATTTTTTTGAAAAACAAATTAATTAGTTTCGAGGGGCGACAACAGAATACGAAAGATACAAAATAACAAGTAGCGTACCTTTCTCTTTCTAATTAGGCGGAAGCTGAGAGGGCATGGAAACGTCGAGTGCTTTTCAGGTTCGCACTAGCAATTACGGGCCGGGGCACCGTGTAAAAGTTTCCCCGGACAAGCAAAGACGAAGGACCAATGTATTGTCGAGTAGAGGCCTCCTGTTTGTCAGTAATAAGGTGACCCGGCGGAATTAATTTCGAAATCATTTTCCAAATGACCTCGAATCCCCTGCGATAAAATGAAAAATAAACTGACACGAATCGATTAATTAGTTTTAAAAGCTTAAAGCGCACAAATTGGAGAAGAAAATACAAAAAATAAAAAAAAATAATGGAAAACAAACAATTATTTCTTTACACATATTGTGTGGCGGTCCATGTGGCTCCATCTGTTAAGTTTTGGTCCGACGAACGTAACGGAAACATAAAGCACAATTAGAAGAATTTTAGAGCGAGAGGCAGCAACCAGATGGCAGGTTAATGCATAGGAATCCTCAAAATCAATAATTTGGGGAAACCATCCCGCGGAATTCATTCATAAATAACCGCAGCCGTCACATGTTACTCGCGATGACGACCGCTGAACTCAAACAACATCCTTAAAAATGTAGAACACCATCACGATAATGATTATGAACGAAGGGTCGTATTCTTATGACGTAGTTAACGAACTCTTCAAGCCGATAGAAGAATTGGGATGGTTGTTCGTCAATGTTTTTTGGGGAAAAGAGTCGGTAATTGTTAATAATTGTTATTACTGCATGGTAATCCCACATTTTTAGTTTTACATAGAAACGCCAAATATAATTAAAGGTTCGCGAAAGCATATATAAAGACTAACCGATGATGTATTTTCAGACTGTGGAAGATGTTATTTTACTAGTTGGAACTTTCGTAGCGTTCGTCGCATTTATCCTTTGGTGTTGTTTTCCGGTAATACCAAGAGACGGAAAACCATTATTTCAAGTCCGCAGTGATGCTTTTTACAGAGAATTTTGCACCAGAGAAGACCGATATAACGAAATTCGACAAAAAAATTAGTTTGCCTAAGAAACTTCAAAATCTAAAGATTAACTCATTGTACAAACTCATTATTAAATAAAAATCACATATCGTTAAACTTGTAACAATTGTGAACATTGTTGAAAAACCTGAAAGGCTTCCACAATTCGAAATATGTATGATAGTCCCCTGCTTTAAATTTTGTACGCAATTAAACAATTTTTGGAAAATAGAAAAAGTTTCAAATATGTTATATTTTAAAATGTTGTTATAAATATCGTAAAAACCTTTGTTAATTTTCATTTCTTACACGAATATTTATTTGAAGTACTTAATTTTAAATTATATTTTTTCTTAAACTCCTGTGATCAAATACCTACATACTTATAAATAAAAACATACAAAAGCATATAAACCGTTTTTATGTTCTTATAAAAATCAGTAATTTAGTGATCATTTCAAAAAATAAAAATAGTCTCTTACACATAATTTATGGCCCCGCAATATCCCCGGAATTTTCATTGTCCTTACTCAATTCTTACAAAACTCGCAGAATATGCTGTGGCTCAAAGCATAGCCTAGCTTTACTGTGGTTATATGGTTATAACCTACCGTAAAATTTAAGGTACCCAACTTTCATTATGGCAGCGTTATTTATTCCCCTTTACCTCTTAATAAAAATAGGAACATTATTAACATCGTACTTTCAATTTAGAAGGACGAAAACGAAAGTTATTTATTCCAGTTCAAACTTTTTAATTGTGAATAAAGGTACAGATTTTAAAATAAATAGCAACAACAGTAAAGAGGTATGGTATATAGGAAGGCCTAATAACAAAATACTTTATTAAACATAATTAGGTGACGGTTCAAACATTTCTTAAATGGAAATATCCAAATATAGCAAATAGCAAGCTTTATCATGAATTTTACTACCCTCATCGGCTAGACTATGCCACAAGTGGAATTTTATGTATTCCAACAAATAAAAAAACTTGTAAAGTTGTATCACAGGTGTTTTCAACTAGGGTGGCTAGAAAATACTATATTGCTATAGTGCGGGGATCTCTATCTGAAGAAATACTGGACATTAACATTCCAATAGGTTCGCTTTTGTGTTTGTTTTTTGGCAATGAATTAACAAGTTTTAAGTACAGGAGAGGACATAAGATATAAAGACATACAAAAAATGTGCACCATAAGTGAAGCAGCATTCTGTAGTAAATCACGGTGTGCAAGGACGGTATTAATTTCCATTGAAAAAGGATTATTTGATATGTATCCTGCAACGAAAGTTTTATGTCGACCCATAACTGGAAGGAGACATCAAATAAGAGTTCACTGCTTTTCAGTAGGCCATACAATAGTTGGAGATTTTACATATAGTAACAGGAAAGATAATAAACCCCCTCAAATGTATTTGCACTGTATTAGGTAACAACTTTTTATTTATTTCCAACTAGCTATACTTACTTTTCCCTTTTTGCAGGCTGAGACTACCAAATCACATAGAAGATATAGATATTGCAACAGACGATCCATACAGAGGAATTGAAAACTGGTCTTCAGTTAGAACTCTTATGACAATATCAGCGGCCTACAATAAAATTGATGAATTTATTGAAACAAAGATTTGAAATTTGTCTTTCTTACATTATTTATTACATCCGTTTTAAAATATTGCTTGAAATTCAGAAATCATTTTGCACAAATTATGTAAATAAAGTTAAGGAACTCCATTTTTTTTTTCAAATACAAGGCGCAGTATATCAAAATTTGACTTCGTATTCGCCGCGTTTTATAGTTACCAACATGAAAAATGCAGCCAACATTACCGATTTGATTCCCACTAAAGGTTAATCCACACGTAGCCTGGAATAGTTTATATTTCATGTCATTGCATTAAATGTGGTACTAATTTTTGAAACGATTATTATTGAAGGCATTCGAAAAAAACTCATCATTTCCTTAATTGTTAAATGCATAATGCGCGCGGTGTGTGTTGTCGCTGTTGTCTGTGACTGTTTCAGTTTTTGGCGCGATTAACAAATTTATTGTCAACGATTAACCTCACATTTGAGAAGGTACCTAGATTTGGTTTTGAATCGTTTTTGTTAATTTTGCAATAAATGTAGCCTTACTATGAATGAAACTAAATATTTAAATAATGCAGTATAAGTAATAAGTTAATTTGATTGTACATAGTCTGTGACAACGTAGAAAATGGGTATTCAGGGATTGCTTCCCTATCTCGAAAAAGCTACAAGACCTTGCGATGTATCGGAATTTCGAGGAGGAACTTTAGCGATTGATTCATACTGTTTCCTTCACAAAGGGGCGACCGCGTGTGTGGAACAACTTGCGCGAGGAGAAGATAGTCCCTTGTATGTGAAATATTGCCTGAAGTATGTGAAGCTATTGCTTTCATACAACATACACCCTATAATGGTTTTCGATGGCAGAAATCTTCCAGCTAAAGCTGAGACGGAAGCTAGACGACGCGATTCGCGAAAAAAGGCAAAGCAAAGAGCAAAAGAACTGATACATTTGGGGAAAACAGGGGAAGCCAGAAATTTTCTTAAACAGTCCATTGATATAACTCCAAAAATGGCCTATAACTTAATAGTGGAATGTAGAAAACTGAATGTTGATTGTATTGTAGCACCATATGAATCTGATGCACAGCTCGCATTTTTCAATTTAAAAGGTATTGCTGACGCAGTAATAACAGAAGATTCAGATTTAGTTTTGTTTGGCTGCAAAAAAGTATTATATAAATTGGATTTAAATGGTCACGGACGGTTAGTGGAAACTGAGAAAATTTATTTAGCCATGAAGATGAGACCTGATCAATTTACTTTTGAGAAGTTTAGATACATGTGCATACTTTCTGGGTGTGATTATGTTGATTCTCTCCATGGAATTGGTCTAAAAAAAGCAGAAACATTTTTAAAGCTCACTGCAGAAACAGATCCGGAGAAGGTAAATGGAGTGTCATAATTAACAATAATCTATTGTGCTTATAATTTTTTAGTTTATTGACAAACTGCCAAGATATCTTAACATGAAACATCTAGTTATTACTGATGAATACAGAAAAAAAGTTATGACAGCCAATGCCACATTTCTTCATCAAATTGTTTTTGATCCTCATAGGAAAACATTAACACATCTTTCAAGTCCTGAATCAGTTGGCACAAAAGAAGAATATCTTAAAAATTCTGGAGAATTTTTTGACAATGAGAAAGCATACCAAATAGCTCTTGGCAACCTTAACCCAAACAACTTTGAGCAATTTGATAACTGGATACCTTCACCGGTATTTTTTTATTGATTGGTTATTCTATTTTTCTATTTAGCATTTGTTTTAGAACCACCCTTACAGTATTTGGTCAGGAGTATGTAAAAAAAGAATATCAGTTAAAGAAGAAAAGGAAATCAGTAAATGGACTTTCACAAAATATTTATCCGCTACCAATGAAAGTGCTAGAAAGACCTCCGCTCTCGAATTTGAAAAACAAAAAATAAATGAAGACAGTCAGATTGAAAAGGAACTGTCAATCTATACCAGGGCTTTAAAAGTAGAAAAAGAAGTTTATTGCAAACATGAACCAGATGTAGCTTGTGATACAGAAACTTCTCCAATAATATCCCAAAATCCATTTTTAAAGAAGAAAAAATTAAGTAAATTCCCTAATACATTTGCAGACGATAATATTGTCGTGAAAAGTCGTTTCTTCGAACCAAAGAAAGACGAAGATTTGAAAGAAATATTACATGAAGAGTGCTCAGAAATAATTGTTAAAAAAAGAAGGGTGGAAGACATTCTAACAGAAGTTAGAACAAATGAGAGTATGATTGAAATAATAGATGTTGACGCTGTGCATTATGAAAAGTCTTCTCAGAAGCAAGAAGATACAGTAACCAGTAATATCACTAAGAAGAAAAAACTTTCATCCTGTAGATCTGTTGGTTTACAAAAAAATCGAATAGGGCAACAAACATTGCATAATTTTTTTGGTACATTTAACAAGTAGCGTACTTGTAACTATTTTATTGTCGGATTTTTTTTTATATTTTTGTTAATAAAATATTTAAATAACCATCCATGTAGCGAAGTTCGACAACACTGCCTAATAAATTGCCAAATCTCCGAATTTTCGGACAAATAAGCGCATGCGCTCGATCTGTCAAAGCGCATAATGCGCTAGGGTGTTATTTGTGATCTTTTTCAATTTTGACTATTTAACAAACTCGTAAATAAATTATTTTTTACAACTAGACTAATTTAGTTGCACCCAAAAGACTGACACCATGCCTGTGAGAAGAGCAGTACACGCTGGAAGCTGGTATACCGATTCTGGTAAGGTTGATTGGGGTATCTGCCATCAGCTGTTCTTTTAATTTGGTTTTCGTCCAACTTTTGAGGTTTCCATAATTTTTTAGGGGGTGAATTGTCGAGGCAACTTGAATATTGGTTAAATCAAGCAGATTTAACGCATGGCCCTGCTAGGGCCATTATTGCCCCGTAAGTTTTGTTTATCCTTGCTCAAATTCTAGGTTTTGGATTTGGTTGTGATTGTTGTACTACGTCTGGCCCAGTTATAAATTTCCCTTTTTATTTAGACCTTCCTTTAGTGCTTGTGAATGTATTAAAACTGGTGTAACAACAGTTGCTTGTGACTGAGGAATCTATGAACCTCAATATCCAGTCAGGAAAAATGTTTTTGACTCCGGTCGTATCCTTGAATCTACCCTAACCATTTAGAGACAATAATTTGTTTGTTTAAATTAGAACAGAGATGCAAACTTTTAGCTCTATTTGTGTAAGGGGTTTTGTTTGTGTTTTAGATTTTTATGTACTTCTCTAAATTGAATTTTAAAGTAGAGAGCCTTTGAAAACTATGTAACAATGAAAAATTTTAGTCACGCCGGTTATCAGTATTGCGGGGCTTGTGGGGGACATGCCTACAGACAAATAAGTCCCGTGGTTGTTCGCCGAATATTTGTGCTTGGTCCTTCTCATCATGTCCGATTGTCAGGTTGTGCCTTGTCTAGTGCACAAAAATATAAAACCCCTTTATATGACTTACACATAGATACATCAGTTAATAATGAGCTTGAAAAAACAGGTCAGTTTGAATGGATGGACTTAGATATTGATGAAAATGAACATAGCATAGAAATGCACCTTCCTTACATTGCTAAAGTGATGGAAAAGTGAGTTAGAACCAACTTGAAGACAGGAAAAGGACACATCTGCTTGCTAGTTTATTCAGTGCATATGCAGATATGCCCTTTTGGGAGTTACCATTGCATTTTCTTTTTTTTGTAGGTATATAATTTTTTTTTTTTTTGCTTTAGTTATAAAAATCAATTTACAATCGTTCCTATTCTTGTTGGTTCTCTAAGTCCAGATAGAGAGGCATATTATGGGAGAATTTTAGCCCCATATTTGGCCGACCCCAAAAATCTTTTTGTTATATCCTCTGATTTTTGTCATTGGGGGCACAGATTCCGATATACGTACTATGATCGCTCCTATGGGAACATATATCAGTCAATTGAAGGATTAGATCGGGTTGTAAGTATTATTTGTTCTTTCTTAAATATATCACAGCCAGCCAATTAGCCTATTTCATTTAGGGTATGAATATAATTGAAAATTTGAACCCAACTGAATTCACAAATTATTTAAAAAAATATGGTAATACAATTTGTGGAAGACATCCAATAGGAATACTACTTCAGGTAAAGACATCTTTGTTTCCGTTGAGAATAAAAAAAGTAACAATTCCATTTTTCAGGCAATACAAGAGCTTCTCAGGAACCACAGTAGTCAAAATGCTAGTTTAAAATTTTTAAAATATGCACAATCGAGCCAATGTCGTAATATGAATGATTCATCGGTGAGTTATGCATCAGCTGCTTTAGTGATTGATTAGTATCAAAGGGGCCTTACTATTATTAATTTTTATGTTATTTTTAAATATTGTGGTGACTTATGATAATTGATTTTCTCATTATGTTTTCATTCTTTAAGTGCAATTATTTTTTAGTTTTTTTTGCATTTATTGCTTGTTAGCTATTAGGTTAAGAAATAGAAAACATTTTTAAAGAAAATTAGCAGATCTCTTTACTCTTTACCATTATTTAATGCAGGGTTCACACGAGTTTTATTCAACAATTGTTTAAGAATTCCTTTTATTCTATGATTTATTATTATTTAATGTTAAATATACAGGGTTAACAAACTGTTGATATTATTACCATTTTATTATTGAAGCTACGAAGTCAGTTAAATTAGTTTCGGTTAGTTTAGAGAAACAACAAACAATTTGATGGCACAGCAGATAAAAGTGAAATAGGCTCTTCCATTTTTAAAAACTTTTTTTTAAAATCATTATTTAATTGACGAAACTACTTTAACCGGCGGTAAAAATACTTCACTAATTTAATTGATCTTAGCAATAGTCGCAACTTGAGATTGTTCACCTTGTATACCCACTTACTTGCCGACAATTTTGGTTTATATCAAAAGTTGTTCATTATGGAAATTGTTGTACAATTTAGCACCAAAGTGAAACTTACTTAAGGTTGCAAAAAGACATACTGATTTTCCCATCACATATATTTGACCTAATAATATTTTTTTGTTGCAAGCAGAATCAGCTAAAAATATCTGAATGATGTTTGTCAAGAACCTTAGATATTTTTTATATTCTGAATAAACATTAAAGTTAGGGTTCGGCATATATATATTTTTTAATGTATTCCAACTGCAGCATAAGGTATATTTTTGAATTATCCTAGAATCATCAATAATTACTATGTTCTTCATTCTTTAATTTTTTAGTGAAGTTAGTAAGTAGTCATAAAACAGCGTTGTGAATTTTGATTTGTTTATATTAAATAAACATGAATCTAAACAGAGACTGTGAACTGTTCAGCGAAGTATGTAGTTTATTGGGGGCTAATTCATATCATATTGAATTAAATTCTAAAGGGACATTATTTGCATTGATTTATAGATTTCTGCCGGAGTGATATATGTATTTACTGATTAAAAATCGCAATACTAACACTCAAAATCATACAATAAATGTGCGCTTTAATATGATTTTGGGTTTCTGACTAATTTGAGGGTAAAAAGTCATTGAATAAATACAATACTTAAAAATGGATTAATTCATTCAGTAATAAAAGTGATTGTAATTGTTAATCAATTAATTTACGTTTTTGCCCTTTTCATCAATTTGTAAAAGATACATTCAAGAGACTTGTAATTGAATATTATCGTCAACTGAATGTAGCTTCACTTGTTTGCTGTCTAAATTACCTAGTTTTAGACCATGGGAAAACTCAACTTTGAATAATAATAATATTGATTGATACTACCTACTTTTTGATAATAAACACCATTTTCATTAATTGTTGTTATTTATTTTATAAACTTATTTGATTTATACCTGGAAATCAAATGTTGGAACGCTTTTAGCTCCCAAAAATAAGTTTTTAAAACTTACCTTAGCCAGTGGGTGAAACTAAGTGCCATTTTCATTAACTGCGCCTTTTATTTTATAGCCTTATATATAAGTTAATGGTAAAACCAAATTTTCCAACAATTCTAGAAGGCAAATATCGACTTTTAAATATTTCCTACAACAGCGCTAACTACGGGAAGTTATAGCTTTGCGCCTTAAGTTTAGTGGACACAGTATACGAAAATGAAACATTTGCTGTTTCGGCATTGTATAGATGGCTAAAGTTAGTGTTCTATGGATGCCAGTTACTCTTAACCTAGCTGACAGCTACGGATGACAAACGCTGTATGTTGTCAATGTCATAAAAGAATCCCAAACAGAAGGGATGTTTTGTTAAATGGCTAAGACAGCATCAAAATTTTTGTTATAATCAGTTAGTAATTAATATATGAAATTATGCCCTTGAAAATCCAATGGATCCAAATGGCAATGTAAGGAGGACCTTGCCTCTGCTAAGAGAAATATTCCGGAGACAACGGCAAGATTCTGATGTAAGAGCTCCTCATTAAAATGGTATTTACTTCTAATGCCTGTCCTAAAAATCAATAATAAAATTTTGTCAACTGCTGTAAATTTAAATATTCTCAAAGAAATTGTAAATATTCAGGAGACTTTGTTGTTTCTGAAATTTCTGATTTTTGCATTTTAAAGAGTTGAATTAATGTCTGGAGTATTTCAGCAACATTTCATGGAAATATTTGTTAAAGAATAACACGAACAATGATCAAACTGTTTTTTTTTCTCTTTCACTCTCTAGTTTGTGCTTTCGCTTTTTGTTTGTACTTATATTTTTTCTGTGTATTTTTTACCAGGGTACAGGAACAGAGTGTCCAGATCTAGAATTTATATACAATGATACAGATACACATGGCAATGAAATTGCAGAGCTCTATAGTTATACAGAACAACCAGAACTACAGCTTAATGTTAAGGTATCTTTTGGATGTAAAATATTATATAGCTTTTTCATATTTAATATTTAAGGCGTTTGAAGAACAAATGGATGCATATAGTTTACCCCCTAGTTGGCAATGTTTATCAGTAGAAAAACGTAAATCAGTAATTTTGAAACTATTAGACCAGTTAGAAAGATGTGAAAGATCTTTAAGAATGAGAAGTGCAAGATGTATTTTATATATAGCTCAAGGGTGTTGGGCAGAAATGCAATCAGACACAGAACAACAACAGTGGGCTAGAATTAATTCAATGTTACTTTATCAGCTTGGCACATTTAGTGCATTTGTGGATTTACTAAACATTGAGATAGAGTAATCCTCCCTTACTGAAGTTTGGATGTAGTTTAGACTGTTGTGTTTTCAGAGATAGAACAGCTGCCTATGTGGCAACAACAAAAATTGCTGTTTCTTTAGCAGATTCTGATGATCTGCGTGTTATACTGTCTGTGCTGTATACCATTATGGAAGTTATTAGGAATGAAAGAGCTACAGAATGTAATGAATTTAAAGAAGATGTGGAAGCATTTTGTGAAGAAATTGGTAGGCATTAAGTCTTTTAAATTACTTATGAAATTATATAACTCATTTCTCTTCAGGAAGTGCCACAGGAGATGATCTATTGGTAATAAAACTTTTGGGAATGGTTACAAGATTTTGTAGCGGGGCAGCACCACATTTTCCAATGAAGAAAGTTCTCCTACTCTTGTGGAAGTCAATTTTGGTATCTCTTGGTGGGATGAATGTTTTGAGAGATATGAAAGCTGAAAAAAGAAAAAAAGCTGGTTTACCTCGTCAAGATGAAGACACTTTGGAAATTGCAAAAACCATCAGGTCATCTTCTCCCCCAGCTAGTGCCTCAGATTTGTTGGAAGCACAAAACCAAAAGAGAAATGCCAGACCATTTAGAAGGGTGAGTTTCCGGTTTTTTGTTATCCTATCTCAGTTTTATGAATGTACAATTGTGTGGTGTAGAGTTTAATGAAACAAAGTAGTTTGGATGATCAAGAATCTCTTGGAATGGAGATGGAAGGTAGTATTGGGAATGACAATGGGGATGATATCTCTGACATGGGTGAATATGATGAAAGGCGTCCGACTGACAGTAATGAAACTGGACAAATGTTTGGCAACCATCACATCAACATGTATAATCGCCCTGTTTCTCCTCCTATACCTCATGACTTAATACCTAGAGGCTTACCTTGGAAGCCCAAAGTTCGACAGAAGGACATAGATACTTTCTTAGATACAGCTAGGCAAAAGTTTTTGGGTTATTGTCTACCTGGCGATGCTACTACTCTATTTGGTTTACCAGAGCCTATTCATGAGGGCGTCAGAACTTTACAGCAGGTATCTTGCCCTAAGAAATTTCACTTTTATAAAACTATAGGCTAATTGCAGCATGTGTACATTTCTCTGGCTGAACTCCAGATACAAAAAGAAGAAGAACTCGCGAGGAATCCCCTGTCCACACAGGAGGATCCCATAGAATTAACACCTGCTGAAATTCTCTACCAGGCGATGTTGCCCAATTTACCTCAATATATGATTGCCCTGTTAAAAATTTTGTTGGCGGCAGCTCCAACTTCAAAAGCTAAAACCGATTCCATCAATATTATGGCGGATGTTCTACCGGAGGAAATGCCGTAAGCAATAAGAATAATAATATTAATTAATTAATAAATTAATTTAAAAAGAGCACCATAAGTGGTAAAAAAATATTTTTTTTACACATACTTGTTATTGAGTAATAAATAATATTTAGGTATTAAATGTTATTTTTCTTGCGGTAGAATGACCGTTCTTCAATCCATGAAGCTTGGAATTGACGTGAACCGGCACAAAGAGATAATAGTGAAGGCAGTGTCGGCGATTTTGCTGTTGCTATTAAAGCATTTTAAACTGAATCACATCTATCAATTCGAATTCATGTCTCAGCATTTGGTATTCGCGAATTGCATTCCACTAGTTTTGAAGTTCTTCAATCAGAATATCCTCGCGTATGTCGGCGCGAAAAACGTGTATGTACTTAAAGCTCGACGCTATGGAAACGTTGTTTAAGCGAGGTGCCTCATTGTAGTATTCCCATTCTTGATTTTCCCTCATGCGTAATTGGTGATCAGCCGGAACTGACAGCAGACAGCTTAGAAATTGGAGACGCTGCTCCTTTTTCATGGAGAAACATGTTTTCCTGTATCAATTTGCTAAGAATTCTCAATAAACTCACGAAGTGGAAGCACTCACGTATAATGGTACATGAGTAATTGTTAATTTTCTTAATGTCAATGGTTAATTGTTTATATTTAAGATGTTGGTCGTGTTCAAATCGGCGCCGATCCTGAAACGCACTTTAAAAGTAAGACATGCCATGACGCAATTGTACGTTTTGAAACTGTTGAAAATGCAGACCAAATATTTAGGAAGGCAGTGGAGAAAATCAAACATGAAGACCATCAGTGCAATCTATCAAAAAGTGAGACATCGTTTGAACGATGATTGGGCTTATGGAAACGGTTGCTATACTTTTCCAACTATCAAGAGGGTATTTCATATTTGGTTCATTTCAGATTTGGATGCGAGGCCTTGGGATTTCCAAGCGGAAGAATGCGCGCTTAGAGGCTCAGTGGACAGATTCAATAACAGAAGATACACGTTTGTCAATGTAAGCAATAATTTTGATTTTGATTTGATTTTGATGATAGGATCTCTTTTATTATTCAGGATAACGAATTTGAGCCGGTCGACAATTCAATCAGCAGTATTTTGGGAACAGATTACGAGCTGTCTGAAAACTTTAAGGAACATTATCAACTCTGGCTTGAACAAGAGGTATTTGGTACTCCAGTGGAGTGGGAAAAGTTGTTACTCAATAATCAGTAGCAAAAAATTATTTATTGTAACTTTGAGTTATTATATATACATTAAAATTAATATTTTATTATTATATTATTGCGGCGGTTTAATGTACTATACAACATTATATGTAAACGTCTTATAGACTGTACTTTTTCTCCAATTGTGAACTCATATTTTGATCAAATACAACAATATTGAATTAAGTTTGCTTTTTTTTAATATTTAAAATGGACCTCTAAAAAATTATCATGGTGGAAGACAAACACTTATATTTAAAGCGAAACTGTTAATGTCTTTCTTATGTACTGAGTTTATAGTTAAAAAATCGACAAAGGTTTTTATATGAAAGTTTTAGAGTATATTCTTTTAAACACTTGGATAAACAATATATAAATAACTTTATTTTTACTTAGGATGAAAGTCTTTCCCGATTTTAAAAATATATGTAGTTTAAAACAAGTCGGGTTTATTATGTTAAAATAAAATTTAATAATCAACAAATAACGTAATATTGAATTAACAAATATACTTAATATTCGGTTTAAAAGGTAATAGATAACAAAACATTTACAAAAAAAGCTTTTGCCTATTTATGTATATACTAAATGTATTATTAGCTAGCGAAGATTGACGCGAACGGACGTGTCCCTGTAGCGCTCTCAAGTTATTGTAAATTTTAGTTTGTTGTTAGAGAACCGAATATTAGTAAAAAGTGTGACATGAATGATTCATGTGATGGAAAAAAAATAGTGGTAGGAAAAAAAGTGTCATCAAAATCGGAGCAAAAAAAGAGAAGTAATTCTTTAGGTTCATTTAAATTAAATCTATCACGGGAGGAAATAAATCGAGTAGTAGGAACAGACGACAAAAACAGGCAACAGGTAAAAGCAAGGATTCGAAAAGAAAACAAAAACTCTGAACACCACAGTGGGGGTGGGATCTTTCACCTTCAACAAAATAAGGAATTTGAGAAATACTAAGATTAAGTTTTCAAGCCAAGGAATTCAATTGCACGCTCACCAATTAAGGTCTCAAATAATACTGATTCGGATTGATGACAACAGGGAAGAGACACAGGTCGGACAAGACTCCAGAAACAGACAGAACAAATAGTAAAAGGATACTACAATGTCACGTACAAACATAAGCTTATGTGATGAAGTTGATGAAAAGATTGTGAGGGAAACCGAATGATCAATGTGGTGCTAAAAGCTATTGATAATATAGAATATGCAATGGAAATAGGTAGCAAGAGCGAAGTGAGTGATGATGGTACTAGTCAAAATATAAGGTGCTCAACAATGGAAATATTAAAAACACTTACTAAAATGGCATATCGAATGGGTGCGCTTGAAAAAGAAAACCATCTTCCAAGGCAAGAACAGAGAATGAGTGATGTTACTGATCCTAAAGCTACTATTACACAGCTAAAAGAAACTATAAAGGATAAAGATGTAGAAGAAGGGTTTAAAAATATAATCTCCCTTAAAAGTGGAGCAATAATAGTGCAAAGTCATAGTATAACACAAGACAAATTAAAATTAGCCCTAGAAGATAAAAGTGATACTAAAGTCAAGGAAATAGGTACAACAGATCCCATGTTCATGCTGACAGGAATTGAAAAAGGCTATACGGATGCAGATTTCAAGGATGAACTACTTCGACTCAATCCAGAAATTAATGCATTAAATGAAACTGAAAAAATTAAAATTATAGCGAAAAAAAGTTGCAGAAACCCTCTCAAGGAGAATTCATTGGTGTTCCATGATCGAGTTGAAATAAAATTCTTCCTACTTTACTTTGTAGTTTTTGCATTTTACTAAACAAGGTTAGTCCATAGGTGCCCCATTTAATAAGGTATCTAAGTAATGAAAAAATATGAGTTGCATATATGTTTGATACAATAAAGATGTATTTAAAAATTTAATTTAATTAAAAAATTATTTAAAAATTTCAAAAAAACACATTTTGTTTGTAGCTGCCTTTATATATAACAAAAATACATATATAAAAATATTTATTGTATAACAGATATAAATTAAATTTTATACTGGCTATTTATAACAAATAATTTAACAATATCGTCTTAATTAACTACTAATTTTTAACACCGCTTTGTAAAACTATTATTATTGACGGCGATCAGCAAGCAAGGCTTTTATCAAAGGGAAGGTAAGTATAATAAAGATTAAGGCCACTAAACGCCAACAACCAGTTTTTCTTCAGCTCTTTATTTCCAATCAACTTTAATAAAATTATCTAACAAATATAACCATATAAACATGTATAAAGGCAGACTCAAGTATTATAAAAGCTAATTAATGCTTTTTGGAATGAAAATTATTGGTAGTTTGCGTTTAATCACATTAAAACTGTAGTGAAATATCACTACAAACTTTGTCTGTCCTATTTTGCATTCAAAAGAATTCAACCAAAAATCTTAAATATCAATAAAACAGGAACAAAAACACCCTGGATAAAAAAAATATTAATATAAAACAGAAAAACAAAACTAGACTACAAAATAAAAATAAAAAATGGTTAAAATTAATTTCCTATAGATACTTTTAACATTGACTATTAGGTGAGCTATATATTATAGCTGTAAATCAGTCAGTATTATATCATCCTTTGAAGAAGTAAAATGCTTACTAAAATGTGTAAAACTGGCAGGTGAAACAGTAGTATAACAAGGGGAACTGTTATTTTAATAGATTATAATGGGGGTAAGTGAGGATGCAGTTTTTTTTGTTCATCATTCTGCATCCTCTTTAAATCAATAGAAGAAGGTGTAGGCACCCCAAGAGGAAGTTCCAGAAGATCTTCCTCAAATTGCATTATATGTTCAGCTTCAACTGCAAGTTATGTTAAATTTTATTACACTTAAAAGCAACCAAGAACATGGCAACAACATACAACTTACCCAAAATCCTATGACGCTTGGTACCATAAGCCAAATCCGCTTGATAAGCGAAGACAAAAGTTAATGGAACCAGCGGCAAAATCAATGAAGATTTTCGTTTATATCTGTAACTAAAAATATATAATTAATTTTTCGTCATCGTCCTAACCCGCCCTCCTTATTTACTTGTTTTTTCTTCGGCTGCAGTTTAAATGTGTCCCAAAAAAAGTATTTGTCTTATTGTTTTGTTTTACCTTGCTATAGCACCAGCAACGCTTGTTAAATAAAAAGCTCCAAACCAATAAAACAATTCGCGTTGTTTGGCAATTTCTAATGCTGTTTGCCTCTGCCTCATTTGATATCTCATCTGCAGCTGCCGCTCAATCTATGGAGTAACTGACTTCTCAACTCATAAATACAGGATAGCAATTACCTTTATATTATCCAGTTCTGTAATTAGATCTTGATCTTTGATTAGGTTTGGCTCTTTTGAGTTTAATGCAAATATAATTCCCATTGCTGTCAATGTTCAAAGTATATTCAATTAGCGTAAAGAGAAACTCCCATTAACAATGTCATAATAATATTGTCTTATTAATTTTATAACCTTAATGTCCTCTTCTTTCTATCGTCAATAATTGGGCAAATTACCAAGATTATTGACGCAGGTCTTCGAATTAGATTTTATTGACAATTTTTTCAAATTTAACTTCTTGAACGTTTTTGAACACTTATATTTATTTAGTAATGACTTTTGGAAAGAGAAATTATTAAAAAAATATAAGAAATGGATTCAAATTAATTTATTAAATTAAAATACATATCTAACATGTCAACAAAACATCAAAATCTAATAGGGGTCTCCATTGGCAATCTATGTGCCTTGTACCAAATAGTTTGACAGATAAGCTGTATTTCGAGATCTATTATATGGTAATGTTAATATTTTCTTCAGCATTTCTCAACAATCACGCAGTCTCAATTTGCAACTAGGCCTGCCAATGGAAATTCCTATAAGAAACACATAAGACTAGAAATATCAGAGGAAACAACTAAAATTGTGTGCATTTCTGGAATGACAATTATTTTAATCGGTTCGCTCTTTTTCCTTCACTCTCTTTATTGCATTTGAAACTCTTGCTGGTATCTCAGCAAAAAGCAGAGTACCACCAAAAACTAATATCGTTCCTAACCAATGTGCCGGAGTGAACGGATTTTTAAAGTACACAATTGAAAAAATTAATGATAAAAATTTCCGTAAGGTGATAACTAAGGTCACAGTTAAAGAACTGCATTCAGTAGTCAACACATACACAGAGCTAATACATAAATATTGTGTCAGAACATTTGCAACAATATACCACCAAATAATTGGAACTACAATAGTTGTGAAGGGTATTATAAATGGCTCACTCTTAGTTGCTATCACAGAATGTTCCCATATACTTAAAGCATTGAAGATAAACCCAGGAAGTGAATACAAGTGCTGAAAAAAGTTTAACATTTTATATCACCACTTTCAAGATAAAAAACTTGAATTTTTGAAAATTGAAAGGAAAACTTACTGTATAATAGAGAGCTTCCTGAGGATGTTTTCCATGTTCCTTATAGAGGGTCTCTTGGTAAATACCCATCCTTGCAGAAAGTAACAGTGCAAATGTTAAAAGGACAAGCCCAATAATCCACCAGAACAGTTGATCAATATGAACTTCAGTTGACTCTGAACCCTCGCCTTTATTTGAACCCGCACTGCAATTCTCGCAAGACTAAAAATTTTGGTTGATTATAAAAAATACTAAAACTATAACTAGTAATCACTTTTGCTGCTTCACCAGAGGAATATAGGGTACAAATTATTATACCAACTGTGATCATAAAAACAGATAAATATTTCTGCCAAGTATACTTTTTGCTTAATAAGAAAATGCCCATTATCATGTTTGCAATAAGAGATCCCTGCAACACCAATGAAAACAAGTTAAGCTCAAAGAGGCCATTAAAATACAAGACTACTTACAGCTCGAAAAATCATGTGTAATGGAACAGGAACATTAAAGTCAAATACCCAATTATTAATGACACTGGTCATATAAAAAAAAATTACTAGTGTCATATAATGTTTGAATGCTATCTTTGGAGTAACAGTTCCAAATTTTGATGTGAAAATAAACCCATGAATGGCCACAAAAAGAAACTGGGAAAATGTTATAAGGTGCCCCGCGCCAGCATCCAGTCTGAAAAAATAACACAAGTCAATTAAAACCTATTCTTAACAATTGTATATGACTTTGTTAAACTTTTATACTTACTTTATTATATATTCAAGGAAAACATTATTTAGGATGCATCCCACCATTACAAAAATTATTGCTGACACAGCCTTAGCATTCATCTTCGCGCTGTTAATTACTGGCAATTTTAGGAACTTCAGGAAAGGATTCAACTTCAGTTTTTTTTAGTTATTGCTAATTACTGTAAATACAAATGCTCATAAACAATTCAAAGTCATTTAGCTAATTTCGTAGTATCCTAAAGGTTCGACACCACTCTAGGGCATGATTACGCTCATATCACTTCGTGTTTAATATTTAGATAATCGAACAAGGTCAACACAGAGTACCCATAATAACATACACTACCGCATTCTTTTAAAAAATTGTGCAAATATTCAATTAACCTCTTTGGACTTTTATATTCAAAGATCTGGGCCTATAATTATCACAAATGATTTTGGTCTGTTGCGATGTTTGCTGTTCTGTGACCACTACAATCTAGTTGAATGACGTCACTATGGAAAGGACATTAATAAAGAAATAAAAGCAACCATTGTTACTAAATACGAAATCAAATTTCTAATTTTGGGGTTCATTTCTGCAAATGCGGTAACTTTAGGATGTATTATTAAATTAATTTATGATGATGATGATTATAGCAGTAAATTTTAAAATAATAAAGTTTGCAGTGAAGATCAGCTATAGTTTATGCATGTTATAGACACATCGAAGCCAGTATTAGTTACAGTGGACCAATGTTATAAAAAGGGAGACGTAATTATATGCAAGAACGTGAATATATTTTACAGTCCAGGTCACTTCAAGACCATATTCGATATATTAAGGAAACTAGTAAATAAAAAAAATGGCGCTGCGCTTCTGCTCCCCATAAAATTGAACGCAGGCGCTGTTGAAAACACCATCAAATAGATCGGTGCAAGAGGAGGTCGTCTACATTTGCTGTTCTGTGCTCCGCGAGCGTAAGCTAAAGGCAAGCAAGTTGTCATTTCAGTGTTGGTTTTTAAGCTCAACGTCAATAGAAACGTAATACCGGTGTTTTAAATTTAAAGGTGGCCGACATCCTTCAATAAAAATCTAAGAAATGAGTACCCCTGTTAAAAAGGTTCCAATTCATTTACAGGTAAGCTTCGGAATAACAGGTGTGTTGCATAAGGACCATAAGAGAAGTGCCGAATTGTAATTATAGCCCTATTTAATAAATTAGTCATGAGAATTGGAGGATGTTCCTTAATTGTGTGTGCGTAAACCGATTTATTTTGTAGGCAAATATTTAGATGTTATTTAGTTATATATTTTTAATGTGGTCACATTTTTAATAATTGATAGTTGCTAGCTGAGGATAAATTTAGCTTAAGTGTAAATAATATTTTTTTCAATGCGTCACCAGCGTCGGTTCTTTCTATAATTTTTAAAAGTATGGATAACAGCAATACACTAATTGAAGTTAATAAATTGCTGTATCACTATGATGATAATCGCCGCTTTATTTTCAGTTCCGAATTTTTGCCAAAATTATTTAATATTTTATTACTTATCAAGAAGACATAATATACTTACAAGCATAAAAAATAATAAATAAACCCATTTTATTCGCAAAGATAGGTACTCTAAATAAGTATAGGAAGTCGGATCACAGAAATATATACGTGAGTGTGTGTATTCGGGCATAGATATGAGGATATCCGTTCGGTAATCTTTGGTGAATGTAAATGAAATTTAAATTTTCTTCTAATTAATTCAGCGTAATGATAGACAACACTTTAAATAAAAACACAGTAGCGGCTCGTTAGTAGCCGTTTTTGCACTTGGATGGTACTTGTAAGGCTTTCAACTGTTTCTAAATAATTGATAAATACCACAAGCAACCAATTAGCTCTGTCTGACCAAAATGCGCCTAGTTTGCTTATTAGAAAATATTTTATATGATTATGTGGTTCTTTCTTTCTAACATTTAATTATCTACTTTATTGGAGGTACTTTGTTTGTAACTGTAATTGCGTTTTTTGTCAAAGCGCAGTTTCTTTTAAAACTGTTGACCTATTTTCAAATAAGTAACGGTTTTCTGTTCACTTGTTGCAAATTCCGAACATTGCAAGAAGTGACTGATTAGATGGTGGTGTTTTAAGGATTTGTTGAAAGTATATTGCATGCAGTTGACAGTGAGTCCAAGGCAGAAAAAAACTGAAAGTGTGTATTAAAATGGTTCTTATCAGACGAAATGTTTTAGTTATTACCTAATATTAATCATTTCCATTCTTAAATGAATGAATGAAATAAATTTTACAATAATTCTAGATTGGCTGTCCAGTTAAAAACAAAATTTTCAAAACAGGTTTCTGCAGGGCACGACTTAGAATGCTGATGTTCTGTAGGAAAGGCGAATGACCAGTGTCATAATTTTAAACATTTTTTAAAACATGAGAATTACACCAAAATAGGTGTGTTCCATGTGACGTTATATAATTCGGTTTGTTTAGTTTATTGGGCGTACAAATAACTCATTTGCCCACCTTCGTTTTAAATTACCAATTCTGAAGAAACATTTCGGTTTGATAAAATTCTTTTTTACTAATAAATTTAAGGCATATATAACAAAATTTAAAAATTCCTATAAATTAATTTTTAGTCAGTATTATTTTACCTTCACCTATGTTTTTTTGATAATTGAAATGTTTTTAATTGTTTTGGTACGATAAGAAGAATAAGTTTTCAGGCGAAAATTACAGTTTCAGATTCCATTTTAAGCTAGTTATGTCTTTTAAAATTTAAATTTTGTTTCCTTTTTCCCATTTTAAAAGGGACACGTGACAGCGTACTCAACACGTTCTATTTTAAACTGTACAATTAAGACAAAAGTTAAAAAAAGTAAATAAAACTGAAATATATTAAAAATGGCGCGGAAGGTATTTATAAAAGATAGTTGCCATGATACCTGAAACCCAAAACTACAACTACCATAAGTGCGTGGGTGCGTTTTATTTTTTGAAAGCGCAAAAAATACAAGAGGCGACTGGAATTTGGGACACCCTGTAAGGGTGGATAGTAGGATAGAAAATGGTTTGTTATCTTTAAATATATTTTTAGCTCACTCGGCGTTCACGAGAAGATCCATTAAAAATTACCAAGGGGGCCATAAAAAGCAAAATTTAAGTTCTCCTTTGAAGATTCGAATCTTCAAAAAATACGCTAGTTTCTAATAATAATTACTTAGATGAAATTAAATAATTCGGTTTGATGCGACTTTTGTTTTGGTTAGTTTTAGTTCGTCTATGCCACATGCAGCTGTTACTTTTAATCGGAAAGATTCACAATTGTTTGATTATTTATAGAATACAACTAAGAGGTTTGTTTAAATAAATAAAATATTATCTGCTATTGATCTATTTGTGGCATAGGTTAGCGTGCATGTGCATTCATTCATTAGATACGTATGGTGTGGGTCAAAGTATGTCATCTTGGCTTTTGGCTTAACCTTCATTAATCAATTCGTTTTTCGAACTGGCTCTAGTGGTACAACTGCAATGGTAGATTTTACTGATTATATTTTTCGGACACCAGATAATAAAATAACTGCCGTGGTATTATTACATTTTTCAAAAGCTTTTAATTTTTTTAATCACTAAATTTTAATCGGTACTCTTTTATATCACAACGATTTTGGCAATAACGGTAAGCAGAAATAACGTCCATTTTTTTCCCTCTCTTGCGATCTTTTCCCCTTTAGAGTAACAATTCACGTTTTTGAGTTTTCAACTCTTGATTGGATAAATTTTCTTTTATTCATTGAGTAATTGTTTAAAATTACATAAAATTATTGAAAGAAACTTGATTGATTCTTAATACATTTTGTTCTATTAAGCTTTTATAATTATTATTATTACTAATTTTTTAAAGAAACTTCCACAGGCTACTGTAATACTTTTTACAAAACTTGTGGATTCCTGCCGCGTCGGTTTTTGCTGAGTCGAAATTTCTGACGTTTCGCCAATCATCCTGTTGACTTCTTCAGAGCTTGACTGAAACTGGTTCAGTCTAAGCAAAAACCGACGCAGGAGGAATCCAGAAGTTTTGTAAAAATTATTATTGTTACTGGTTAAAACCAACAATCAATACCTTCTTCATAGGGAGTTCTGGAAAAATGCAGTACTGCACATTTTAAGAATTGAAAATTTTACATTTGCATATAAAATAACAGAGTTTATTGCGATTAATCTTAAATGAGAAACACATTAGATTTCGAATAAAAACATGCTTATTTGTATATTTGTATATATTTAGTGTATATATTAGTATTATTTCGATAATTGCCTTCACCAGTCAAGGCGACATACTTTGAGACACACCATATCATCGTTGAATGCGTATACTTAAAGGCGTCCATAGACTACCCTGCGCGATCTCATTTTCTAGAGCTCCCAGAACCGACTCCTTATCAAAAATGGGAAAATAGTAAACGAAGATGATATAACGGAAGAAGATGTTTATATCGAAGACGGCGTGATCAAAGAAATTGGACGAAATTTAATTATACCAGGGGGAACCAGAACGATCGATGCACGTGGGAGGTACATCTTACCAGGTGGTATCGATCCCCACACACATTTCGAATTCGAATTTATGGGTGCCAAAACGGTTGATGATTTTTACCAAGGGACCAAAGCTGCCGTAGCTGGCGGAACTACCATGATTAGTAACTTGTTTTTTGTCGACTGGGTCGAATGCGTAGGATTAATTCGATGAAATTTTAGTCGACTTTGCATTTCCAAAACCTGGCGAATCGATATTAGACTGTTTCTACGATTACCGACAAAAGGCTGATGATAAAGTCTGTTGCGATTACGCGCTTCATATCTGTCTACCTCACTGGTCTGAACAAATAAAAAAAGAAATGGAAATTCTTTGTAAAGAACACGGTTAGTGGATAAAATATTTATTTGGACCGCACACTTATATTTTCTGTGCGCATTTTAGGCGTCAATTCTTTTAAAATGTTTATGGCCTACAGTTTCATGTTCACCGATGCTGAATTGTATAGCGCTTTCGACCATTGTCAGAAATTAGGGGCCATCGCACAAGTTCACGCTGAAAACGGCGCAATTATCGTTAAAAATGTAGAAAGACTTTTAGCTAAAGGAATTACCGGCCCTGAAGGCCACGAACTATCAAGACCGGAAGAAGTTGAAGCAGAAGCGGTGAATAGGGCTTGCGTGATTGCCAAACAGGTCGGGTGTTTTTTCTATTTGCTCACAAACGCATGTTATACAGTGTTTGAATTTCTATGATCTGTTCCATCTGTGCATGATTAGAGAAGAAATTCTGCTACTTTTGAGAACCTCCACCTATTCCAATAAGCTTTTTCTTTGCTAAGATTTTTTTCCTCTATATCCGCTGATAGAGTAAAGTTGGTTGGTTTTAAAAGTTATGAGAAAATGGTAAATACAAAACTTGTAAAGATTGTTAGGATTCACAATTTAAAATTATTTTAAAGTATACAGGGTGTCTGAAAAAATCGTGATAAATAAAACACACCTTTTTAAATTTCTAAATTTAAATTTTGTTTTGAATTCGTTTTGAAATTATTCAACATTTTTTATTAATACTACATACCTAAACCTAATAGTTTTTTAATATTCAATTATTTAACTTTTTAAATATTTACCCCTCTTTCTGTCTATTGCTGACATTAGTTGTTCATGACAAAATGACATTGTTATATTTTTACGTGACATCTGAGCAAATAAATTCATAAAATTTAATGCGGTGTCAATAAATTAAAAAATGAACTAAGTATGGATTTTTCGAAACTGAATTAATTGAGAGTGAGGAGCATCAGAAACTTTATAGACTAGAATAGGCAATTTCTTCAGTGTTTAATGGGACGGTTTGATGCTAGTGGTAGCATTGAATATGAAAAACTTTACTCAATCGTTGACTTCTCCTGTACAAAATATTCGTATTACGCTATCTTTATGGATCCTTATTTTGTACCGAAGGTTATAAGAATTGATTTTGAATTTAATCCTAATCACTCTGGTCGTAAAAACGAGGACATTTTTGCTCAAACTGATCTTTTACGTAAACTCTAATAAACATCATGTACAAACAATTAATAAACTAATCCTGAAAAATTTAATTAAAGGTTATTTGATTTTATTTATTATCAATAGATAGGTACAATACTGAGTTTATCCCCGAAAGCTCGAAATATATGGAAAAAGCTATAAATAGATTAAATATCAAACTTATATTCTATAAATAAAGAAAATAAATGCGAAACTACTGTATAAATAATAATTTTAACAATTTTAAGGTTCTCTTGTAAAAACTTAAAGATTTCAATATATGCTCAAAAAAGGAGAAAATTCTTTATCTGATTGCTTCAATATTCCGAATAATATTAACATTTTTTTGCAGTTGCCTATTAAACATACCTGATAAAAATTTATTTTACAAACAAAATTCCAAGAGCAATTTTATTTCATTGTCTACTTTTTATGCCGTTGCTGAAGAAACTGTAAAAAAACTTTTATTTGAAATCAAATCGCGAGCTACAGGGGCTGATCAAATAAATTTGGATAAGGTATTGTTAAGCTGTCATATAATTCTCCCTTTTATTACAAATATTTCCTAGTTTGTGAAAAATATCCACCTAGTTCTAAATTGCCTTCAGTCCCTTTTTGCGGGTTATTGTATATAATTTATACAAATATATTTTCTGTTATTAATGTTCTCCGAATAAACTTTATTATTATTATCATATAACTAATAACTATACGTAACGTAACTGCTCTGATTGAATCAAAATAGTATTATTATAGGTAGACTGTCCTTTATATGTAGTGCATGTGATGAGTAAACTGGCTGGCAAGGCTTTAAACCAAGCACGTGAACTTGGCACTCAAGTGTATGGTGAAACTTTAGTAGCTGCCATTGGTTCTGATGGTTCACAATGTAAACACGCGTGTTTCGAACATTCGGCCGGTCACATACTTAGCCCTCCCTTAAGGTCAGACCCTACTACGTCGCTTGCTTTAGTGAACTTCTTAGCACAGTAAGTTTTCTTTTGGTTTATTTTTTCGTTTTTCTTCTGGCTTCGTTTCTATTTTATCAGTATTTGTTGTGCATGGATAACTAACAATGGTGTCTGAAAATAACTTGTAAATTGTTCTAAACTGTCGTTGTTTGGATCCAGGTGAATATACCGATATATTTTGTGCGCGTATCATCGGGAACAGCGGGTGATATTATTGCGGAAAACCAGTCTAAAGGTCAACTAATCTTAGGGGAAGTAGAGGTCGCTTCTGTCGGCCTAATAGGAGATCCGAATAATCACAAACTGGTTACGTCGCCACCTATCAGATCTAACCCTAATACGCCTAATCAGCTTTTGCAATACTTGTCCTTGTAAGTGTGTGTTTATTAACCGATCAAATGTTTTGCTTTCATTATGCTTCGATGTTATTCGCTAAGTTTTGTGACATAGAGCAAGCTCCTGTTTTCTTGAAATGTTCCACAGTTGCATACCGCCATGGTGTGACATTTTAAAATCATGTTCGAACATACAGAGTGGTCCGTAAATATGTGGAAAATCAAACTTCTATTTTTTTAAGTGGAACGCCCAGTTTTCAGTTTTGTTCTTAATTTTTAAGTGATTTTTCTGGAACCTTTAGCAATATTAATATTGCATTTTTAATATTATCCCTAGCGTAAAATATTGTTTAAATTGTTTTTGTCAAAGTTGCCCAGTTCATAATTTCATTTTTCTTTAAATCTCGGATTTAATAAATTATTTCCGCATCATTACAATCTGTATTTACATGTGACGAATATTATTTGAAAGAATTATAGTTAATTCGTCTCTGTAGACTTTTAAAAAGTTTGCTTTCTCACTTATTTACGAATCACTCTGTACATTTGAAAATAATTTTTAATTGTGTCTTTTATTTTTATCTATAAGCTATTGACTGATTGATTGATTGATACATATTTTTTACTCTGCACTCCGAGGAAACGTATTGTAGCCGGTGGGTGTTTTTGAACTTTTCTTGACGTTCGAGTCGAGTTTTTGCTCTATGTTGTACGTGCACGTATATTAATAACTACCCTATTACCCAGGGGTGTGTTGCAAGTAGTAGGAAGTGACAACTGCACGTTCAACAAGGCCCAAAAAGAACTCGGGAAAGACAATTTCAGTAAGATCCCGAACGGAGTTAATGGGGTCGAAGATCGAATGTCAGTTGTCTGGGAGAAAGGTGTGCATTCTGGTCTAATAGATCCGAAAAGATTTGTGGCAATTACTAGTACGAACGCTGCAAAAATATTTAACTTGTACCCCAGGAAAGGAATTATAGCTGTGGGATCTGATGCCGACATTGTCGTTTGGAATCCTAACGCGACCAGAACTATTTCAGCGAAGACACACCATCAAGCAGTCGATTTTAATATTTTTGAGGTAAATAATAAATTCTATATCTAAATCTTCGCCAGTTCGGTCCTCAGTAAGACGTCTTTTTGATGTCGACGTTGAAGTTTTCGATCTAGCTGTAGCGTCCATAAGTTTTGGTTGCCGTAGGTTTCAGTAAATAAATATTTAGATTTAAAACGTAGTTAAGTGTACCAGCGTTGTTGGATAAGACCTTTGAATTTTTAACAAAAAGTAACGAAACGGCGCTAACAAAATAGCGAGGTCATGGAATGCAACTGGCTCTCTCTCCATATGTGATAAGTAGGATGAATCTGAAACCAACTTTTCATATCGATCTTTCAAAAACTGCTTGGCCCATAGAGAAATAACTATTGCGATTACCAAATTTTAACCTATATCTCACTAGAGTATTAAGGCATCTAGGATTGCCTTTTGACGCATTCATTAAGGATCGACCTGTGTAATACAACAATTAATGTTTCTTTTTTTACTTTATAAATAAAAAGGAATGACATAAAAAAGAATTTTATATCGAGGAAATCAATTGAAGAATAGAATAGAAAAATACGTATTTTTTAGAGGTAGTTATCATGGTCGCTTTCCTTTGGAAAATTTCTCAACATAAATCGACCAACTTTAACACACTGTATCTTTTAGTCCCTTTAGTACGAACTTTTTTCCTATTTTGATATCTAAAAACATGTCCCACGCAGGGGATGGTGTGTCATGGGGTACCTGAGTACGTAATCGTGAACGGTAGAGTCTGTGTTGATGAAAGTCAGTTGCGGGCAGTCCAAGGCTTCGGAAAATATATCGACACTCACGTCTTCCCGCCTTACGTTTACGCGCCTGATAAAGTCGCCGAGCTAAAGCCACAGAAAAACGGAACTGTGGATGAAGAAATCGAAAATATCCAAGAAATTAGAAAGGTGATCACCATTTTACTGTTCGTTTCGAGTTAAACGACCGGTTTTATTGCTTTTCAGATACATCTAGCCGAGAAAGCGTGCCCTACACCGACATTGCCCGAGTCAGTTGTTACCACTCCGTCTTGCAGAGGGGCCCGGCCCGAAGGACAAAGAAATATTCAAGACTCTACCTTCTCAATAAGCGGTAAGAATCGTCTGGTTTTTTTTTAGGAATTGATATTCGACAAAACTGGCGTTTCTAAATAAATTATTTTATGCTGTAATATTGAAAAAAAGATGTTAATGCTTAAGGGAGCAAATCTAGTTCAAACAGCAAATTTAGCAAATATGATTAAAAATAAACCGGATAACATTATTATTATGATTTCAGAATAAATTTAGAAATATATATATTTTGTCTAACACCTAGATATATTTATGCTGATCATTTACATAATATACTTTTTACAATATTTATAAACATGTAGGATAGACGTATAATTAAAGCTATTTACGCAAGTTAAGCTAAATTAAATCCCAATATGTTTATGTTGGTATTTATTATTGCAGAGGAAATGGACGTGGAGCACAAATCGTGCATTCGCGTGAGGAATCCTCCGGGCGGCAAATCGTCCGGGTTTTGGTAAACGGGATCCCAAAATTGGTGACTTCGCCCTCATAACTCGCGCTTTTGACCGTATTGGCTTAGCTGTTTAGTCTCATGTAATGTACCAAAGCAACATACTTCTTACGAATAATTTATTTTTTTGTTTTTCTTTATATAGTATATACATGCAATTATAGGTACCTGTTTTATTTATATTTTCGTTGACGGCAGATAAATACAAAAAGTTCATTGTTTAGCGTAGTAACCTAATTTAAAGCAAAATGGCCTTTAAGCTGATTGAATTAGGGTTTCTTTGGAGTGATTTTGGTAGAAACCGCCTCTTGGTGTCAATTAGCATCTAATATGTCATTTTGGAAGTGCTAAGGTGAGAAAAATTTTTTTGACTTGTAGCTGAAGCGGTGTGTTTTTTTTTTTGAAAAAAAAAAAAAACCGCGGTTTGAGCAAATCCGCTAAAAACAAAAAGTTTTCGCAAAAAACCGTCTTTTTTGTTAATCGCCGACAAGCTATAACAGAGCATATTGGACGAGCTTTATAACGCAACAAAAGAAGCCTCGATGGGCGTGCGCGCAGATAAAAACTCGATAATGAGAAGAAAATTATCAAATATCTATTTTAAATGGTTTAAAACATAAAATAAATAACTTATCAGAAAATGATGCGATAGAAACGCCAGAACTGGAGGTGATATCTGATGTTTTTTTGATGAATTGAAAAGATGGCCTGGGTAAGATCAATGGAACGAAGAGTTTTTTTTAATCGCTGTAACAACGCTTCTTTCACTTAGATTCCGTTCAGAAACTTACGAACTGTTAGGCACGTCTGAAGTATAATTGCGTTCTGCACGTGTCCTATGATAGTCCAATTTCCTGAAGTTTCCCTGGAACACTTCCAAATAATTCATTCATCCGATATCACCAGTGGAATAGTCCTTACCTTAGTTTGCTGCCAAATTTTCATATTTAGTGACTTTCTCTGCTTCAGCACTGTGAATTCTCTTCTCTTTGCCATTGATGACAATGTTGTAGTATGGTGGGCATGCCTGAAGAATATCATTCTGTTGGTGGATGAGTTAGTCATTTTATTGTAACGTCCTAGGTATGCGTTGTCTGCGAGCAACCTACAGCCTTGGGCCGTGTTTTCCATATTAACATAATTCTCTCCTGGATGGTATTGTTATTATCATTATCACCTTCAACATCATCACAACAATCATCATCGTCACCATCAACACAACTATCACAACCATTGTCATAGCCAACATCATCACAACTATAACAACAATAAACATCAGAACAGTCATAACTATCAACATCATCACAACCATCGTCATCGTCAACATCATCACAATAATCATCATCGTCACTATCGACATCAACACAACCACCACAACCATCAACGTCATTATAACTGTCACAACCATCGTCATCATCATCGTTACTGGTACTTTCATGGCTCGGTTCGTAAATATCTAAATTTTCTATCGGGTTAGCTTCAGACTCATCACTTACCTTCATAAGATCATCGCTCATATCATTAAATTATCAGTTATATCAATGCTTAAATTCTTTGCTCGTTTATATGTAGCTTATAAATGACAGTTTTAATTCAATAGTTGTGAAAAACTGAAGAAATTAGTTAAAACTCTCGACACATATAAAAAGGAAATATTAATTTGTAAACTTATAAACATTAATGTCATGAGAATATTATATAATATTATATATTTAAAAAAAAATGATTGGAAATTTTTGGTCATGAAAGTTTCAAAATAATTTCTCAACGTTCGTAAACCAAGCTACAGCGATTTTTTGAAAAAAAAAAACTTGTATATACGATCCCGTGAAAATATATCAGCTATCAATTTCAGATGAGTTATTCTATTCTAACTAAGAAGTTATTCACAAATTAATTCTGTAAAAAATATTGAATATTTTTATTTCTCAGGGCTTTTATTATGGGGCTGTTCAATTAAAAAAGCAGCCATTTTAGAGTTTTTTTTTTCCATAACTTTTTTGTTTATTTACCGATTTAAACAAACCGCAGCTCGCTTTATAATATAGCTTGAGCTATAAGTAAAAAAAAACTTTTTTTTTAATCCTTGATCTTTAATAAACAAAATATTTGCCCATTGTACTTATCTATTCTCCCGTTTGATACCAAGTGGCAATTTCTATGAAAATCGCCTCTATTGGGGCCTAATTGGGCTGGTTTATTAGGTAATCACCGAGAGATTTAGCCTAGTAGCTGGTTTCTTAACCTGACTGTGGTAGGTAATCGTGTATAGCCTTATATCAAAAGTATTTAAAAAACGTGAAAACTCAATTATGGTTGCAGCGTAATTAGAAATTTTTAATTATTTTGATTTTTGATTTTCATGAGTCACATTAGAGAACTATTTTAATCTTTTTTATCATCCAAAAACCGGAATTTTTTTCAAATTGTTGGTGGAAGTTTGTCGGGAACGCTCAAAAAGCCGCAATATTTTTTGTTTTTCTGACAATAAATAGGTTGAGAAACCCAGTTACTAGCCTGAAGTTTCTAAATCCTACATTTTTCATTAAATGACCGAGTCATTTTGAAACACTCTTCCATCAATTTGCCAATTTTTAATACATTTCATAGAGGACCGGGCATAGAATAAGTACTGGGAGATTTCGGTAATATCACAGTATCACCACCAAAATCAGCGTTTTATTGGAACATTTGTTATTAATATATAATAAAATAGCAATCAAAAGAAAGGACCCAATTTATTTTTTTCCAATGAAAACTTGCATACATATATACATATATGGTGTTTCCTGATATCACAAGATGTTTTTCAACTGTTCCAAATTATAAAGGCCAACAAAATATGTTTAAGCAAAAAAAAAGTTTCGAATTGACGTCTAACCGGAATCTCCACGTACATTATCTAAAAATTTTTGGAAAATACTGCCTAGAAACTTTTTATAATATGAGTAGTACAAATTACCTAAGTAAAATCAAAATGTTTACCGCTTAATGTTGTTGATTGGTAAGAATACTTATGTCTAAACTGTGCGTCTCCTTTTTTGCAGTTTTGGTTAGTTTTTACTATGCAAGTTTTTAAACGTAACATTAAAATTCGTGCTTCGATAATTGAAATATTCTCCAGATCTTTTGAATCTCAAGCAAAATTAAAAAAAAACTGCTGCGTTTATTAAACATTTTTGATTAATTACCAGTTTGTTGACGTTTTTTTATTTTAATATGAAATAAGTTAGCCAAATTTGTTACAAATCTATTCGGTGTTGTATGTCTTAATGTTAGATGTATTCATATTTTTTGTTTATTTTTAAAAATAATGGTTTGTTATATTGTACTTTAAAAATTGCAATTAAAACTTGGTAAACACGTGCTTTCTTTAATATCTGACGTTTTCCACCTATATCAATTATTTCTCTTCTATTGCAATTTTGTATGTTTCAAAAGTCGTAATAAATGTTTTATTATTTCCAGTGTTTTTTGTCTCTCTTCCAGAGAAAAAAAAAATGCAAACGGGAGCTACAAAATTAGCGATATATTAGAGAAAAAATATTTTGTCAAAGCGAACGTTTTCGCCTTAAAGTCGGGACCAAATTTAATTTGTATTTTTTTGAGCCTGCTGAACTCCACCTGGGAGCTGAATTTTCTTTTTTTATATCTGAAATCAAAAGGGGTTTTTATAAAAAAAAATGCTGCGCAAATACTGTTTTTAACAACTTATTCTAAACAAATGGCGTTTTCTGAAGTCAGAATCTTGTACAGCGTTGCATTGTAAACTTAAGAAAATATATTTAATTAATTCTTTACAACCTACTCTAAAATACACAAGTGTCAATTTAAAAAGCCTGCTTTACCGTCAGAACCCACTTCAGTCATGGGTTGGAAGCGATCGGTAGATTTAAAACACTACAACAGCAGTACTTTTACATTTTTGACTTTTAAAGTAAGGAGGTTTATTTGTTAATGGACTCTACATGAAAGTGAGTTAATTTTATTAATTTGTCAATTTTATTTTAATGTTTTCAACCAAAAAGTATTTTTTAGCAAATTCAAATTATTTCAAAAACATTCAGCTCAAATTTATATTGCAAATTTTACTGCGTTGTATTGAATGAAGAAATTTTGTGCCACAAAATATTCCCTACATTTAAAGGGTGCTTTAAATCACTGAAATATTGTTACTTACTAATTTGACACTCTTTAAACTGTCAGTAATTTATTTAGATACTTATTATTCCTCAGTTATATCATGTCACTTCGGCAGTTTTTTTCTAGGTTGGATAAAAAATAAAATCTGGTGGTTTCTAAGCAGTCTCTTTCCCTTTGAACTTTTTTACGATACGCCGTTGATAGATTCGAAAATAAAAAATGAATTTCCGACCCTTATCCAGAAGTCTATTAAAATCATTTTTTAATTAATTACGAAAAAAGTAAGGGACTTTGGCTGCTATTTTTAGTTTGAAAAAAACGTTTTATTTCAATATGTCCCTATAATCTTGATACTGAATTTTGAAACTCCCCGTATGTTTATTTTGGAGTACACTTTCTTTACAACTTCGAAGTGTTTTCGGAGCGCGAGCATTGAAGATGCCAAGTGAGATTTTGGCGAAACGTCTGCAGGATTCCAGTCGGAGTTCAACAAGCGAACGGATGATATCCCGGAATATAGTGTCATATATATATATATATATATATATATATATATATATATATATATATATATATATATATATATATATATATATATATATATATATATATATATATATATATATATATATATATATATATATATATATATATATATATATATATATATATATATATATATATATATATATATATATATATATATATATATATATGATGACACTATAAATATATATATATGTATTGGTGGTAATCCGGGTGTTCATCCGTTCGTTGTTTGACCCTGGAGTAGGATCATTCGCCTGACGTTTCGCCAAAATATCACTTGGCATCTTCAGAGGCCGCGCGTCCATGTCACTCGTACGTGTCCGCACTTAAACTTAAACAGTAAAAATATAACATGTAACAAACATATAAAAAAATGT